TTCCTTTGCTTAGTAAATTTCCTATTAGAATTTTATAATATTTGATTTAATTAAAGCTTTTTGTTATTCTAAAAACTACATGTATTTAGAACGTATAGAAGAAGTTGCTAATTTTATTTCTTTAGCTGAGAATAAATATGAAGTGATGACCAGAGACGGTGGCGGAATTTTTAGAATTTAGTGATGCACAGAGCAACAAAATTGAGAAATGGAAAACTTTAAAAATTTGGGTCAGGTACTGGAAGCAGAATTTAGTACCCACAAAGATAATACCAGGTGGGAAAATGCACTGTGTATGATGCATTATACATATAAGATGAAACTTGTAAATTGTCAGTTTTCAGTTTCTTTATTAATAGGAAAATTCCTTTCTATAGATGCATGTCCATGTGACAAGATTAGAAGCATTTTTAATATTTCTCATGCTTGTACCTATGAAAAGAATAAAAGTAAATGGAAGATAAACATGTTAAGCGAAAGACTTCTAGAATCAGAAGTAAAACATTCAAATATTATGTTTTCATAGTTTTTCCAAAAAATTTCCAAAAAGGGAAAAATTCGTCACAAATTTCTTCTAAAACACATCCATTATCTGTTAGTACTATGAAGACATTTTTCATTTTGCCACACTTTTCTGGAATCTTCTAGAATTGTAGATCTATAAATCTTGCCTTCAAATCCTTCTAAACTTCTCCAAGGTGCAATGTCTAAAATCGGGAAGAAAAATTACCACTAGCAATTCTGTAATGGCAAAAAGCTGTAAGTATTAAAAAAAAAAAAAAAAAAAAAAAAAAAAAAAAAAAAAAAAAATCAGAGGAAAAAGTGTAAAATGCATTTAATAGAGAAAAATTGATGCACATCCTAAGAATTCTGAATCTGAGAAAATTACATGGGGAAACTCTCTTACCATGAAAAAATAACAAAAGATATCATTTTAAACTAATTGCCTAGCTATTTTGCTCTTGCTAAGAATTGTTTTGTAAATTGTACTTTATAGTATTTATTACTTTAAATCTAAAAAGTAAGCAAACTATTGATATTATAAGTCGCCAAAATGAAAAGTAATGTCACTTTATATGACAGCAAAAAATAAAAATGTTTTTTAATGTTATTTCTTAAGCATAATTGTAATATATTACCATTATTTTAATCAAAATTATTAATGTTTTAAAAAAATCGTCGAAAAATAAAAAATCTACGATTTAAAAATTTTGAATAGAAATTGATCTTAAAATAGCCAAAATGTTGAAGTTGTCAAATTTATAGGAGTTTAATAAAAGAATTAACTTCCTCCAAAGAGAAAAGTTATTTAAGAGAAGAAAAAGAAATAATTTTGAAATGCTAGTTTCACTCTTTGGCCAGAAACTCGAGTATCGCACCATTTATAAATAAGAACAAATTCAAACGCAAACGATAACCCATGAAATACATATTTGTCAGTGAATCACCAAAAATATTTCTCCAAAATGCTTATTCACACTGAAAATGGCAGTCGTAAAAACAGACAGAAATTTCAGAAGATTAAAATGAAGGACTTTTAATGACAAAAGTCGATTGCAAAAAACCTAAGGACTCTTAAGAATGGTACAAACGCTAGACATCAAGTTATAATAAGAAAAGAAAATTAGTAAGAGAGAAGTCAGCCTTAGACAGGCAGTAGACATATGTCTTCGTATTTGGTGGAATTCATATGGCAGCAGTAGACATATATGAAGAATAAAAATCTTATGTAGTTTTTAATACAGTTGCCAAATGATATCTGCTAAAGATAAAAAAGACATGCTTTATTGATCTACCAATATCAAAAATATATTTCATCACCAAAAAATACCAACAGATTGTTAGTGATATGTTGGTTAATATCCAAGTAACCTTATTTTTATACATGTATCCAAGTTTAATTATTCATTTTTTCATCCGGAGAAGACATGGATGCTTGTTAAATGTACAGTGTCTGTGCAGCTAGCATGGCGACACTCTAAATATGGGGCGAGCCGAAAGTCCTCTCGTGTGGATTGGTGAGAGATCTTGGATCACCCCAGGAGTGCTCTCCGTCAAAGTTGGGGGTGGAAAATAGAAGTTCAACCTCTCTCGGAGTAGGCTCTGGCAACCATTGTTCCATGTAATCTAGACACAACAATAGAAATGAAACCTTTCTAAGACAATCACTTGCAATTCATGGTGTTTTTGGTCTTTATGGAGGTGGTTGCCTAACAGAACAGAATTATTGATGATATTCATTCCACCATTTAATTATATGCTCGGAAATGTTTGTCTAATGTGCAGAGATAGTCCTTGAGAGAAGTTTCTCGTTTTTGATATTTCAGTATATAGGATGGTGCTAAGCCAACTAACACAAAAACAACTGGTTAACAACTTAATAATCGGTCCTCATCAACAATGATTTATTTGAAAAACCTATTAGTTATAATAAATATGGTATTTCAACATTGCCCTGTGGCAAAACTGGTACTATTAGTTTGCCCTGAATCTATCTGTCTATTCTATAATATAGTATATGAACACTGGCAATACACTACTGAACATTTTGATGTTTATTTGCAAATTGACTGTAGAAATAGAGTCCTCTTCACTGTTCCACCCATCACAAGCTATCCCACCGAATAATCATTCTTTAAAGCAAAATTCGAAATGTGTCAGTTGACCCCACATCACACACAAGTTACCGCATAATCATATAGGCTTTTTTATCAAATGAACAAAGAACTCCAAACTGGATTATTACAAAGCATAATAGAGCTATCTTCCTAATGGAAGTGATTCCTTTATGATAGATTTTCTAAAAAAAAACTAGTTCAAATTCAAGTCACACACTGGAAAATCCACATATAAAGACCCACATAATTAATTGTAATACTTTCAGAATTTCTGGTAAGCTAAGAAAGAAACGTTCATCATCCAAAGTTTAAACCCACATAGAACAAATTTCATTCTGATCTGTATAAAATCAGGTCTGAAGTTTCTATTTTTTCTCAAATAGCATCAAATTTTCACCTTGAACAACATTACAAAGTTCATAAGAATACACCCATGCAGAAGAACATTAATTTGCCTTTTGAATTAATTTATACTGTATTGCTGCAAAGGAATGCTTTGCATTGATTTTGTTGACTCATTTTCCCTCCTGCGTCATTTTTTGCATTCGTGCCTTAACATGCATTTTGTGCATGGGAATGTACATTTAGACTGTACATTCCCATGCACAAAATGCATGTTTTAGTATGCTCAACCACACCTCCACGTTTGTCCCATAGAATCACCCTGTATACAGATAAAAGTAGATCAGGGAGTGGTATTTATAGTAACACCCCTGAAGGAGATATCAGATGCGGCATCAGAAACTCTGATCATTGCTCCATCTTCAGATCAGAACTTATACGCATCAGGAAAGCACTTGATTATGCTCTCTGTTCGACTAGTGACATTATATGGATTCTGACAGACAGCAGAAGCTCCATTCAGTTCCTTAAAAACTGGCCTAAGAACCAGTCAGAATATTATATCTAAACTATTTTAAGCTTAGACAGCGTAAATCAATATATCTCCAGTGGATCATCCCATGTTGGGACGTATGGTAATGAAATAGCTGATGATCTTGCAAAGGAAAGGTTGGGATCTCCCTACTCCCACTTCCACTGATTTAAGTCCATCTGAAATACATTCCCACTTGGAAAAAAAAAAAAAAAAAAAAAAAAAAAAAAACATGGCATGCATAATTTCTCCTGATCACCATTAGTTAATTACTGAGCAATCAGGCCTGTTACTACAGAGTAAAAGAATTAGATCTCTCCAAACGGCCATGGCCAGATTCAGAAGCAGGCATCTTCGATGCATGAAATTCAACGGGGGGAAAGGACCTTTCCCATGTGTGCCTGTTCCCTCCTATTAACCTACTGGATTATACAGGCGTCTCACTGAGACAGCTGTCGGCTGAGAAGGATGTCAGCAATTCATTTGTATGGCAAGGTCTCTTTCCTCGCCCAAAGGGAATAGTAACAACAACAACATTGTAAATTAAAATTCATATGTGTGAATTAAGTTTATAATCTTATTATATATGACTTATAGTAATAAAAATTCAAATAAGTTCACTAAATTCAGTGAAGTATTTTCCATATTTTGACATAGTTTCAAAGAATGATTTTTGTGTTCTTAGATATGTATAAAAAAGTTAATTTATTAGAAATGTGTACTTAAAAAATCCACTCAGGATTACACATGTTTACAGTTTCGTTGTAAAGCTGTTAAGAAACCAAAAAGCATTGTCTTTATCTTTAAATGTTCATAGTATTTTTTAATGCTTCATAATGATATAGACATATTTAAAGGATAAATGGAATTTAAACAACAGCTCAAATTTATAGTTTTTCTTTTGTTGCTCTGATTTCAGTCTTCGTAAATGATTTAGTGAAGCATATGATTTTTAATTTTCAGATCTGGGCTGCAAAATTTTTAATTACTGCATGTATGAAATATGGGAAAAATGGTTAAAAATTCATATTTTGATACAAACAAAAATGTTAAAACATAACTAATCAATATTTTATCATTTTAAAATCAAACATACCATAGATTCAGATTAAAGATCACATATTAGAAAAACTATTTTATTTTCTTATAAAATGTACTTCATAAATAAATGACAAAATATTTAAATCATAAAGAAGTTTTCAGTACCATAACATGTAATTCACGATCATTTTAATGCATTAATTCAGAAAACATTTAAGTAACTTTACCTCTTGGCATATTTTTAAATCTTAATCGAGTATGTCTCAATCAAATCATAAGATACACATAAATAAAAAAATTATTAAATATTTAAACATTTAAAATTTTTATCATATATATATTGATCGAAAAAACTTGAATTTATTGTTCAAAAGAAAGTCCATTATGTTGCTATATTTTAGACTAATTCAAATTAAGATACTATTTAAATTGAATGTTCACGACCATAAAACTTAAGAACTACACAGTTTTGAATGTTTAAAAACAATGTACAGATAAACTTTATTCCATAAACACTAAATACATTCACTAATATACTGTAACATCACAACGACATATAGGAACTCTGAAAATATAACTGGTAGTTGTTTCACACTAAAAGAGATCAGTCAATCATTCCCTGAAAGAGAAAAAAATGCATTTATTAAAGTCATAAGTCTTTTGTGCACAAATAATTTTATTTTAAGAAAATACTTTAAAAAATTATTCCACTATATATTAAATACAACAGTGAGCAGAAAACAGTTTCAAGAATGAAATTATTACTTATCTTTCATTCACTGATTTAATCAGGTTAATACTGCCTTTAAAATCTACGCTACTTTTATAACAGTCACATTTATTAAAAAAATTAATTACATGAAAATTATATACTGACTAGAATTTAAAAAGTAAATAATAAAATATATTTAAAAACAGAGAAAATTAACTTGTATGTAATCCAAACACTACACTGATCAAGAGTACTACTTTTAATATCATTGAAGTGAATATAATGCAGTTTTTACTTTATTTTGCACTATATACATAAATAGTTTATTAATAACAATTTTGGAAATTCAAAAAAGAGAAAAAAGATTTTTGCCTGCATATTTTATATAAAGAAAAATCTACCCAACCTAAAAATATAACATTATAGAATGCAAGTTTAAGATAAAATGCTGCTCAACTTTAACAGTCAAGGTACCTAAATACACTCAAACCTGTTTTTGTGCAGTATATGAAAATTTCAATCAAATTGGAGCATAATCATATGGTTATATATGACAGCAGATAAAAATTGATGCAGGGCTCCAACTTTGATATAAAATAGAATGCCATTTTCTTGCAATCGATGCCAATTCTGAAAGAACTTTTAAAATTCCAAAAGGAACTTCAATCTTGTATATCTGGCTACCGAGACATATACAAGCGTTTAGTGAAATAACAGTCGTTGCAAAAACTGATCACCGACTACATGGTAAGTGGAAAAAGTCAACTCTGAATGAGTACAAGGTAGTATCTTCAAGTGATGAAAGCGATTTTGAAGCAGTTTACCACAAGAAAGTTCACATATTGTCAGACTATGAAGGATAATGGTTACACATTTTGAAACGTTTTGTATGTGTAAAATAACTACATGTGTAAATAAAATATTTAAAAATGTTCAGAAGTGTATTTTCTAAATCAGATTCTAAAAGGTTTGGCGAGATTCCAAGCCTCATGCTTTGATTTCATTAAAAAAAAGCAATTTCTAGTTATTTCATAAGCTTTTGAGTTATTTTCTAGATAAGACAGTTATGACAGTTATGAGGTCCCTATTCACTGCATAAAGAAATACTTCTTAATTGTGTTGCAAAAACTACTTTTCTAGCTACTCGTGAAGTTTTGTGGGATATTGTTTTATGTGTTTTCTTTTATGCAGTCAGACTATGTAAGACCTGTTTTTATGCAGTTCACCGCACAAAAACGGGTTTGAGTGTACTTACAAAAATTTAATTTTAATTTTGAGAAGGCTAGGCAAAACATTGCCTTAGTTCTTAATAATTATCTTAATGATGAAAAAAAGTACTTAGCATTTGATGATAATTAAAAGAATTAACTTCAAATGAATAAGTGTTCAATTCTGCAATAACAAATAATCTACTAAAAAAGTAAATAAAAATAAAAGTGTTTAAAATATTCTACAGTCAATTCCATATAAGAATAAAAACATGAAAATTAACTTTATATTCACTGTTGTGAAAACTATTTCTGAATTTAAAAAAAATGTGAATTACTATATGTATAATATAATAAATCACTTAGCTGCAAAAGCAATAATACTTTGTTAATAAAATGTTCAAATAAAGTCTTACTAATTAATATGTATATATATTTGAGAAAATTTTTAAATCAAAAAGGAAATGAGTTGTAGCTTGAAACTTTTCTTAATTGTTGTTATATATATAACATGAACTTTATGATGTAATTACAAATTGCATGCTAGCAAATTTCTCAAGATTTTCTACAATATTCACTTCAAAAACCTATGATCACATAAATGATAATCAGATATTTTTTAAAAAAATTAATATCTACTAGCTGACTGCAACATAAAAGCAATACCAAGCTTTAAATTTAATAAAATGCTTGGAAACATAATCACCAACCACCACGAAATTGAAACACCAGTTCCTGAGAGTGTAAACTACTAGAATACTTTTGTAGATCAACATCACCAGCATATTATTACAGGAAATTTGACAGCTGTAAAAGATGAACTTTAAGACAATTAATGAAATAGGAACCAAGTTCAATCCTACCTTCCATGTTAGCAAAAAATACTGCCTCCAACAATTCAAAAAGGATTTAAACACTTTCATTATCAAAACTAGTTACAAAACAAATTTGCCAACTATTTAATAGAAACAAGCAAATCTTAATGAATTTTTGGAGAATTTCTATCTCCCACAAGTTTCACCATGCACATAATAAGACCTCCTACTACAATTTAATTAAGAAAGAACTACAAAGTACTACTAAATGTAAAAAAAATTAATACAAGTGCTCCAATATTTCAAAAGTGTATCAATGTTCTACATCGAAAAATTAATATTACTACAAACAACTACTATAACAGAATTTCTAATCTTTATACACTTCCTATCACAAGATCCCTGTTATATTCAGACTCGTAGCCAATGCTAGAAATTTTTTTTTTAAAGAAATCGACTATCTTTTTCCTTAAAAGCTAAAACAAGTTCTTAAAATTATTAATAGTACTAATTTTCAAGACCACAATTTCAATTGGATTATCAATAATAACGAATTGATTATAGAAGCTCTACTTGTAGCCAATGCTAGAAAAAATTTTTTGAAAGAAATCTACCATCTTTTTCCTATAAAGCTTAAACAAATTCTTAAAATTATTAATAGTACTAATTTTCAAGACCAACCACAATTTCAACTGGATTATCAATAATAACGAATTGATTATAGAAGCTCTACAGTCTTTGGATATTAAGAACATTAATTGCTATATCTTTGAAAATCTTTACATACTTTATATTTACTTTTATGTTTACCTTTTTACTACTCTTATCTTTATACCATTAGAAGAAATATATGATAGTATGCTCACTCTTCCAGATATTGTTTTACACACATTCCTAGAATATTCTCCAAAGATGAATGGAAGATCTACTTAAAAAGTATTTTGTTTCATAATTACATCATTTCTAATAACACATTTTTAAAATAAGTCAAGGTCCTTCCTATGGGTTTGATCACCTACTTCAATTTCTAATTTAATTCCTCTTCATCGACGAATATCACTTTCAATATTCCTTTACAAATGAACAATATACTTATTTTTCTAACATTTACAGATATGTCTATGACATCATTACATTCAAGAACTTTAAAAAAAATAGAAGAAGCTAATATTTATCCTACCTGCCTCAACAAAACTAGCCTACAACAAAATATTAACTATCTAGATTTACATATTTTAAACAACAAAGAACTTAATTTATGATAAAAGATTGTAATTTTCATGCAATTAAACTCATAAATTGGAACTCCAACATCTCCAAGAAAATTATACTTAATACTATTTATGCACAAATTCTTAGAATCAAAAAAGTTTGCAATGATATAGAGAACCGTCAAGAATTTCTAAACTATATAAATCTTCTCTTAGAAAATCAAATTCCCAAGTATCACACATATATATATATATTAAAAAAAAAAAAAAAAAAAAAAAAAAAAAAAAAGCTGGCATTAAATTACTCATTTGAAATATTTTAAAATTAATGATTGAAGAATCGCAAAAGTGGTATAGACTCAAATGGTTCAGAGGAACAAAACGTGTATTCGGAACTCAACAGAGTTTAAAGCTTCAAAACGCTTTTCCCTTGACAAGTTTTGTTTGAAGCATTTAAACACAGAAGATAAATTTTTTTGTACATTTGTATTTTTTACAAGTCTCTTACATGATAGTTTTTAAGATTTTTTTTAAATCACTTATGTTTTTTAACTATGTACCCTTCAACAGACGTAATTCAGTTTTGTTGGCCCACCAGCGGTCGAGCGGTAAAATCGTTTAACACTGGTAGTTCGGTCCGAGGTTCGAATCCTGTGAACGGGCTGGCTGCATGGGCATTTTCGTGGTTTTCCCCATGTGTAACGTATATACGAGCCAGTTTCCCTTAGAAAGTCCTCCACGAAGGCATCCCTCCCCTTAGGCAGATAGCCCTAGTGTGCTTTGCTGTATTCACAATACACCAATACAATAGTTTTTGTTACCAATTTCACGGAGATAAAATATTAGGTTGGCCTTTATATATATATTTTTTTTAAATAAATTTATATTTAATTGAGGTTCTGACTTTTTACTTCCCTTTGAAATTATATACATATATATGTAGCTTAATTGTTTATTGTTATTATATTTATATATGCATACTTAAAAAACAGCAGCAATAAAAAAAATTTAATTCACAACTCATTCCCCTCGATTTAAAAATTTTTCTCAGGTAACTTCCAATAATTCTACATTACCTGACCTCAGAATGAGCAAAATAATTAATTATTCTCTCATATCCCAATATTGAACATATTTTTCAACTTATTCCAGTTAGCTGAGTACTAGTGGATTTACTTTTAATAATTGTACAGAATTGTTGTAAAACAAGTTTAACAAATTTGGTAATGTATTAACACCTCGTCATTTTTAGAATCAACAATATTTTCTTTTCCCCGGGAAACAGTTAATATGGGTGATAAAAATTAAAACCACTTATGTTATTTCAATCACAGTTTTTAAAGAAATCACTTGTTAAAAATTGGTTAATATAAATCAAATAAATTTGTTAGAGTTTAAAATTCAAAAGCAAGCATAACTTTATTGATGAGAAATTTTATTCTCATGCACTGAAAACAGTCACCTGACAAAATTTCTAATTTACTAATCACAAAAACCTGCAAAATTCATACAAATTTTAAATTCACGCCAAGTTCGCAGTTTTTTAAAATGTTGTATAGAAAACTGATTTAATTTCCCATGCACAATGATATTACAAATGGCATTAACTCTCTCGTTATTAGTATATATGTATACATAATCTTTTGAAATGAATAACCAAGCAAAAATTACCTCGATGGGAAATATTCTACACATTTCAATCACAAATATTTTATTTAAGCAGAAAATATTACTCAGACATTCAAATTCAATCAGACATTCATACATAAAATGTAAGGTTTTAATTTGAAAAAGAATGCGAAATGGCAATATCCAAGAAAACTTGTAATCTATAAGATTATCTAGAGAGTAAATTATTTTATGCTGAGTTAAATGACATTTTGGAAAACTGCCTGACTGATAAATATACTGGTAGTACAAAGAAAATTCAGTGGGGGAAGGGGGAACTTAAGAAACAGGTGTTTCCAAAGGGCACATATACAAACTCATATTTTCTTCATTTGAAAATGACACTCAATCACTGAAAAATGATCAAAAATGTCAATTACAAAATACATAAAAAATGAACTCAATATTTTTCAACTAAAGAGAGCAAGAGTGCTATAAAACTGTGCTCAACTCTTGTGCAGTATATAACCTGATAAACGATCATGGATGAGTAACATACAAAGCAAGTGAACAAGGCAACAACAATCGCCAATATAGTCTTAAAAATTACCTGTTTTGGGAGTATTATATTTGATGTCCCATAAGATATTTAAGAGCTTTTCAATTACATATTGCATTGTTTAAAATTTAAAAGCTATACATGTAGTACTTAGAAAAGTGTTTGATTTTTTAATATTTCTTATTGATATAATAATAAGCTACATTTAAATTTTACATTTGGGTTGAAGATCAATGTTTCATCACTAATAGCAATTTAGCTCAATAATTCATTGCCTTCCTAATGGTGCCAAATTCAGAGTAGCACCTAATAAGAACAAAGCTTCTGACAATTTAATGTTTCAATAGCTTGGAACAGAAAAATTGAGGTTTTTGAAAAATGCATGTAAAATAACAAAATTACCATCATTTACAAATTTTTCTGTTGACAGCTGTTACAAAACTATCTTTCACAAGACATAATCCAACATTATGCTCTTCATTTTGAATGCATGGGATTAAACAGAGAATACAATACAAAAAAATTGCAGATTCAGTGACATCTACTGATAATACATTTTCAGCTTAAAATATTTAACACTTACTATTTGCCATTCAGTAGGCTTTTCAATCTTATTAAGTATTTCAAAGTAATAAGCAAGAATATTATACTTGATTTTTTAAAACATACAATCCCCAGAATTATTTTTTTTTTTTAAAAAAAAAGAGAAAAAATTATTTTGAATGTATAATCCATAGCACAATATTGTGTGTAAAAAATGTTAGCATAAAGAACTTATACTGCATATAACATGCTTAAGTTTTATCTTTGACTAAATTGAAAAAATAATAAATGATTATTGCTTGAATTTTCATATATTTCTTCATAAAACTGCCTCAAACAATAGAGCATGATTAAAATGAGAACCACTAGCAAAGATAGGTGCATATTTACTTTAACAATTGATGCTAATTGTTCTGCTTCTTTCAATAAACTTTTCAGTTGGGAATTTTCAGCTTCAAGAACTGCTAACTGATCCTGTAACTGAAATACAGATTTCATTAAAATATTTTAGAAACATCTTAATTTAGAATTTGTGTGCGTTTAAATACTGTTACAGTCAAAAAAGTAAAAAGTAAGGTCTTTTAAATATCATACTAGCTCATTTTCATGCAAAGTTTCATCTAGAGCAATTCGTCTCTGTTCTGCCAAGTCTCTCCAGTAACTTTCAGGAGCAGTACCTGGAAAATTGAATGTTGCATATTAAAACCTTCTAAAACAAAATGTATAAAAGACATAACTTTACAAAACACAATAAACTGTTATCATCTTGTTATTAATCAGATTCATTGCAAACAACTTTTTATTGCTAATTAATGACCTTCATTGGCCATATGATCTACTCTTCACTGACTGCAGGACAAGTCTTCTTCACCTGAATATTAACTGGAAAACAAGTAGCACATTTAAGAGATGTTTATTGCTTGCCAGAGAAAAGACTAACACTGCAAGTGAAAGGATGAAGACGTGATATGATTTTAAATCAACAAATAGGGAGCTCAAATAGGTTAGTAGATTTGAAAAAAAAAAAAACAGGTCTTTGTTATTCCTCCCCTCTTTTATACTAAAGGCTTGAACTAAAATGGTGTTTTAATTTTATATACGCTAAATGCATGATATTAAAGGATCTTTTGTTGAATTTAATGGCTACATAAAAATAAGGATAATTTAAGGGAATACAGTTACATTTTTATTTAGCATATTTAGCTATGAACATAGTTAAGACTTAAAATTTATACCTATTAAGTAATTTTTCTGAGCTCTGCAACTAAACACTTTCTAATTTACTTCCATTTTATGTCAGAATTTAAGAAATTTATCTTAATAAAAAAAGAAGAAAGAATGCAGAATAACTTTACGACAAAGTTATAAATACAAGCAAGAAAATCCAAATAAAATTATTTTACTTTTTATATTTTAATTTAAAATGACTGAAAAGAGGCAATGAAAAGAAAGAGATTTAAAGCACATGCCTATTTTGCTACTGCTTGTGATGGAGTAATATATGACATTGTAAACCACAAGAAATATTCTATCAAGGATATTATGGTTTTATTATTTCACGAAATACATTTTAAGGAAAGTTGCACATAAAAATAATTATAAAAAGAATTTCATTAACCATACATATAACAAAGACGCATAAATTAAATTTTGCTTCCTATACCTAAGAAGAAATATACATTCAAGCAGCGACTTTCAGAACTTGCGCTGAATAATAATTAAATCGATGATAAATTTCTGAATAATAGACATCATAGCTGAGATATCTTTACAATAACATGCTAATAAATATCATACACGATACATCCAGCTGGTTTTCTTTAAAGAGAAAAGTAGAGAACCCCCCCCCAAAAGACCAGATTTATTTTTAAAAATAAAAAACAATCTTTAAAAAAGTCTTTTTCTCCAAAAAGGCTGATCTTTTTGCAGCGCCTTTAAAAAATGAAGAGCATGTCTGCTGGTTAAATAATAATCATTGCAGGATCTCACCTAAACTGCAGGCTTCATGAGAGCCAATGATTAAAAATTACGGAGTGCCTATGGTTCAAAACCATGTACCTCCTCATCAGAATTACATAAAAGCGAGCAGAAATAGGAAAATTGCATAAGTAGTAAACTTGATGCTCACTAGAGGGAGCCACATGGCTCGAGAAAGTTTCGGGATAACAAGAATTTATAAAACTTAAGAATACATAATTTTTTTGTAAGTTTTCAGATTTTTAATCTTTTATTAATTTTTGATTTTTAAATTTTTTTTGGTATACATATTTTTTATATATAAACGATACAACACAAAAGCATTGCAGAGAGGAAAGATTTTACGATTAATATGCTCATTGCCATGTGGCATACAATGGGAGTGCAAATAATAAAGTTATCGCGAGAAAATATTCAAGGCAGAATTAAATTCTGCGGAAGATGCGATTCTACAGAGAACAGAATGATAACTTTGCATAATGACCCCTTCTCAGGTTGCAAGAAGGGATCATGGTAAAGTTTGGAAAAATAAGCAACAACATGGCAGCTCGCTGAAGGGACGTCCTTCACTCACGGGGCGTCGTCTGGAACTGGTGTTAAAGGGGCATGTCTACGCCTTTTAGGTGGTGGATAGATGCCGTAGTCCCGACCAATGATGGCTCTTGGTCTTTCGTGAGCTGCGAATAGCTGGGTCGTACTCTGGTGGTTGTTGCAATGCTCGGTTATCAGTCTGTTCAATCTTGATGAATAAATTTTGAGTAAGTTTTTTAATAACATAATCCACAGGTTTAATGTTTAAGTCTGAATGAATCACATCTGTACGGACGTATGCCTATATGCCAAGTCCTATCAAATGCTTTGGCAATATCAAGAAATAGCACGCCAGTAAGCATTTTGTTACGAAACCCTTCGTGAATGAATTCCACTGTCCTCAGAAGCTGGTGAGTGGTGCAGTTTCTTGCTCGAAATCCAAATTGTTCATCAATCAGAATGTTGTGATTTCGGAGAAAATCATTCAGGCATTTAAGTAGCACAAATTCGTATATTTTAGATAACGAAGATAGGAGGCTGATAAGTCTGTAATTTTGAGGATTATAATGGCTCTGGCCAGGTTTTGCAATAGGCACGATAAGTGCTCTCTTCTGGCATCACAAGAGGACTTTCTGTGAGACGAAAAAACATAATAGTATTGATTGCATTATACGATTTAATAGCGCTGGAAATTTTCACTCTTCCTTGCATTTGCAGATTGCTGAAAAGGAAGAGAAATGCAACTGTATTTAATCTCCAGCTGAAGGCAAAGCTACATATCAGCTTTGTGGCCTATTCCTGTGGTCATCATCTTAGAATATTGTACTGAAGTAGTTATCAGCGAGACTACCAACCTGGTTACAGTTCTAGCTCTCGTAATCATGGAATAGTATTTCAAGGGCATAGAATGCTGTTGAAGACAGAAACTGGAGTAAGAGTCCTTTAGAGTGCGACATTCTAATCCCAATCAGTATCTATTATGAAACAATGCAAGACTACCAACTTGGTTACAGTTATAGCTCTCATAATCATGGAATATATTTTAAGGGTATAGAATGTCGTTGAAGACAAACTGGAGTAAGAGTCCTTTAGAGTGCAACATTCTAATCCTAATCAGTATCTATTATGAAACAATGCATTGCATTGAGGTCAGGTACCTGACAACTAATGTAATGACAAATTGACTTGAGCGATATGATCAATGTTGTTATGCCAAGTGAATATTTGCTTATCTCATCTTGTAAGGAATTGACCCATTAAATGTTATTATATCACTTACAGCGAGTGTTCTCCTTTCAGTGCAAAATCCTACTATGTAGTCATCACTCTCAGTCCCCTAAAAAAGGACTTGGGCACAGGAAGCACAATGGAAATCTGTATTTTGGTGAAAAACAATATAAACAAGATTACTTTTTTCCTTGGCTTTACTGGAATTTCTAGTAACTAATGAAAATGATGAACCCTAACCTACAAATTGAGAAACTGAAAACAAAGTTTGAAATGCAGCATTTCCAAATGAAAATGGTTTTAATCCAGTCAGAAGTTTGAGAAGCAGCAAGTGGGCAGTTAATCTGGGTTCATACACTTCTGCACGAGGAAATTAAATACTTTTAAGGACCATCAACGAAAAAGACTAAGGACACATTAGTAAATTTGAATAAAGTAATTATCTAAACCCAAACTTCACTTTTGTAATTTGTAAGAATAAAATAAATCTGCAAGTAGGATGTATTATCATTAAACCTAATTTAATATTTAACTTAATTTTAAAACAAATTCAAGAATAAACTAAACTTCATAATTTTTTCCAAGTTGTTAGCATCAAATTATACAATTTCTTGAGACATGTTTCAATTGAGGCAGTGTCATACGCCTGAAACTCGAGCATCCACCATTTATATTTAGTAGTAGTAAAGAATTCAAATTTTAATCATTAAATACATATTAGTCATTTTTTGTCAATGCATGGCCAAAAGATATTCCTCCAAAATATTAATTCACACTCAAAATAGCAGTCGTAAAACAACAGGCAGAACGTTAAATAAGTAAAATTAAGGACATTTAAGGACCAAAAAACCTAAGGACTTTTAAGGATCATACAACACTGTTAATCAAGTCAGAAAACTTCTGAAACTAACCAAGTTGAACTTAATAAATAGATCCAAAAACATCAGAAAGCCTTAACAATCACCGTTCTGAGCATAAAATCGTGAGAGGTAATGCACATGAAAAAGCGTAACACTCTGAGTGAATTGTAGATGAAATTACATGGAATTCATCAGCAGAAAGGCCCTATATCTAAAGTAAGCTTTATAAAGCAACTTATTTCAAAACAGATAAAAGCAGACAAAAATAATGCAACATTACTTAATTTCTTTGAAATTGTATAAACTAGTGGAAATAGTATCTGAAATTCAAGAGAAATTCACAATTATTTTGCTACTATTTAGCTTAATCAAAAAATGCTCATGTAGGTTTTGACTTGTACTTTTAAACATCAGTTAATAGACTTCACAGATCAAAGTTTATATTTCATACATACTCCTTTAGTATAGAGAGAAAAATATTAATGATGCTAGTTTAGCAGTTAAGATTTAATTTTAAAGCAACAGATTTAATAATTCAAAAAATGAGATTTATGTTTCATTTCAATAAATGGACATAAGAGATAAAAAACAAATCATGCATACTTCCTGTCAACAATGTAATAGTAGAATCATTAGTTGTAGATGTACTACAATCAGGTTGAAAAACAGTTGTTTCTGCTATGTTTTCTTGAACAGCTGGAGATTCTTCAGGCTTACCTAAAATTTACACATAAACATGAATATTTTACTCTTATACTATGACTTACACCTGCAATTACATCAGCAAATATTGTTTAGTACCATCTGTAGCATTCACAAAATTAAAATTCATAGAATTTGACTGCATTTACTATACATTGTTCATGACTATAAAAAGATACTTTCTGATTATCTAAACCTCTAAGAAAAAGTCACGAACTCGCAAGAAAACTTTAGAGAGCATTTGCAAACTTACGAGTGACTAATTTTTCACCAAAGTATTATGCAAAACAGACAAATCATTTTCAATATGGTGGCACACTAAGAATTCCATACAAGAGCAATGAATCAATAAAATTAACAAAGCAAGAAACGACAATAATAAAACATTTATCTTTCCCAAGAAATTCTTCTCTTCTGTGTTTTTGCTCTCCCCATGTACACAGTGATCTACTTTTGCTTAAAAAAAATTTCAAAGAATTGCACAAACTCGGCATCCATGAATTAAGCATAATGCATTCAACAAAACAGATGTACGCTGCATATACACATACCTGGGTTGCCACATAAATACTTTTTGACGACACCCCATGCTGCCACATAATTATTTCTGTAACACACCAGATTACTTGAGGACTACTTTTCTGAGATTTTTCGGTGCGAGTACAGAAAATCAGAAAGCATTAAAAAAACGTACTGTGAAAGTAAAATGTAGAACTCTCATATATGCTAATCTTCTCAATCTTCTGAGTTTGATACATCATATCACTCTAGGTTAGGGGTTCTCAACTGGTGGTACGCAAGAGAAAAATAAGTGGTACGCAAAGAAGCAAAGTAGTTTTAATAATTAAATTCAAAAATTAAAATCCCAATATCCTGATTGAGTTTTTTCTCTAATATTCATAAATTTATGCAATCTGAGCTTTGTTCAAGAGTGGTGGTGGTACTAAAGGTTTTCAATTTTTGTTTAGATGGTATGCATTAGTCGAAAGGTTCGGAACCACTGCTCTAGGTAAAACACCTTTTGAAACAAAAAATGTACTACCTTATTGCAAAATAAATTCAACCAACTTATTTTTTTTAAACACAAAAATATCATACTGATATTAGAGTGAACATTCACAAACTTTCATCAAATTGATGAATTCTGTCTGCAGTCTGCAAAAGCTATAAAATCGAAACTTCCCATTATAAAGACATTTTAATCTTTTCTGCAAGTAGCAGAAAGTTAGATAAAAATCAGTTTTGTCTACAGTGGATAAAAGGATAAAGGAATTATATCAATAAAAATTAAAGAGAGAAAGTTCTAGATTTTAAAACAACAAAGCCAATTAGCATATGCTATGACAACGACGTAGCATTTGCAGATTGGTTAATGCATACGTGAAGTTTATCTGTAACTTCATAGAAATATTGAATCCCCCTTTTTAAAATCTCAGTTTTCCAATGAAACTATTGACAATGTCAATGAATTCTTTGGAAGATAATTCATCACTTGTAATTACTTGTTGATCATAAAATAATTTTCATGAGAAATGCCGATTCACCAATTCTGCAAATGAACATAACTATGTTATTCGATTTGGTAGGGTTGTTAAAAAACCTTATTTTAAAACTATATATAATCTTTTTATTTCTGTTAAGTTTCTGGTCTGTCTGTAAGAAATTCTATACGTATGTACGTTATGAGCATATTCGTGTAATCTTTACAATTAATTAAACAATATAGTGATATCCATAGAAGATTAGTCATAAAAAGATACAAAGGAATACATAAGTAGATTTTGACTTATATTTTTAAACATTAACAGACTTCAGATGCATCAAAGTTTATATTTCATAATTACTGTTTTATTATAGACAGAAAAATATTGTGTTAATTTAGTAGATTAAATTTAAATTGAAAGACAGATTTAATTAATGAATTAAGAAATGAGATTTTGCTTCAATTCAATGTATAGACATATGTAACAAAAAAATATAACTGCAAGTATAGAAGATTTGATGTTTTATCGGATTCCCGATATTCATGGTACACTTGTGAAATGATCATAGGCGAAAATCAAAATTTTATCACTACTTCCAAGCTGTCCCAACTCTTGCGCTGCAACTATAACACTACGTTCAAACTTGCTTTAATCTTGATAACCTGCCACAGTAGCAGCAGTAACCAATCTAACAACTTTGCTGAACACTTGTTGTCTTATACAGGGTGTCTCGAAAGTTCATTGCCAAACTGAACATGTTAGTCTGTCATACCATAACAAACAAGATTTACATAGTAACTTGTGCCCAAAAATGCATTTAGCGATGGCTAGAGGGCAAAGTTCACAGGCTTATGGGAGAGTGGGAAGTTTGAGCATTTCAGGCAAGGATGTTGCAGGAGATAGATGATTTGGTTTACTTACTAAGTCAGCTCTTTATCAACATTTTGTTGAGAGTTTTGCCGGATATGATGGTTGACATTCCAGCAGCTACATGCCAAAATATTTCCTTTCAGCATGAAGAAGTAGTGCACATTTTAGAAAACTGTGTGGGAATATCTCTATAGGACATATCCTGAGCATTGGATTGGCAAAGGTGGACCAGTCACAAATCCCCAGACGTGACAGGAACATCGGATATGGATCTCGTCCACAGGATCGTGTAAGCGGCCGCATGTGTCCGTGAATCCATGGGTCGGCGTCGTGAAGCCTGTATTGTGGCAAATGGAAGGACTTTTGAACATCTGTGATTTTAATCATGTTCTTTAAAAAAAATCTTATTAACACCTTTTTTTTTTATATCCTTTCTTTCTTCCTCTCTAAGCTTGCAAACAATGCCCTCTAGCGGTCACTGCCCGCATTTTCGAACACAAGTTACTATGGAAATCTTGTTTGTCCTGGTATGACAAACTAGCACATTAAGTTTGGCAACAACCTTTTGAGAACTCCAGTACAGATACTGCAGACTGCTGCACTTTACTGTGATTAGTTCCATACTTATTTTCATGACAAATATATTGTTACGAATTTGGTATTTAAAAAGCTAATGTTAGTTCAATTATAAATTAAATGGTTTTATTTCTCGCGTAGTGCAGCGCGTGACGAATATTAAAAGAAAGCTAAGCCAGAAAATTGAAAATACAAGAGCGCGTGCATTAAATAAATAAATATCTCTTTTTGATTTCGAGAAAGTACTGGAAAATTCTAGCGCGTGATTTTAAAATCTTATAAAAGGAGGAAAACATCTCAGTTCGTAGGAGTTGCTTAGTTTGTTGTTGTTTAGAAAACTGCTCTTGTTGATTGTAGCGAATTCGCGGATTAGCTTTCTTTAGCTGTTTTGAATTACGTTCTATTGGACATTTGAGTAGCTAAAAGATAACTACTGTGAGATATTGTAGTACTGCATCATAATTTGAGAAAATTTAAGCATTTTGTTGTGATAATAATAAATTTTTGTTCATTTTTCATCGGACTTGTGCATTCCTTTCATAACGAACACGTACACACGCAACATTTATAAAACTACTTAAGCAAGACTTGTTTGTATTGAAAACCAATGTATTAGAAGATGCTGGAAAGCACAAAGGAAGTGATAAGCAGAATTTTTCATGATGGTGGTAGTAGAGTAACTGGCGCATAACCAGAAAGGTTACATGTGCCAACCACACAGCTTTTTATACCAAGATAGCTTTTATACCAACATAAGTTAACATGAACCACAAATTTATAACAATTAGCTAAGCTGTAAAATGCAAATCAAGTAATAAAATGATGAAGACCAAGATGAATATGAAAAAACTCAGCAAACGATATTCATCAAATGATGAGACACATTAAAAATACATGATAATAAAAGCTAAATCAAATTAAATAATAAAGATCTGTTTCTTTCAGGTATTGAAATAAATTATTAACATCTTTTTCGAATAAACAGTCAAGAGGCAAGTCACATTCGTTAAAAAAAAATAATCCAAGTCTTAAAATTCGGACACACTATAAAAAATTGACATGGATAAAATGCTATCCCAGTCGGGACAAACTGACTCACTCTCTGCTTTGTGAAGATAACTGTGAATGATTGGCCAGTAACCAATTCTAATAAGAGTCAAAAGGACTTCTTTCCGGTTTTTAGTAGTACTTTGCCAAAATTGCATGCTAGGCTTCATACTTCTCAGCTTATTATTTAGCTGTGCATTCGAGATTTCTTGCCATTTATTCAAGACTTTCTGCATGATGACCTTGCTGATATCTAAGAAAAGAACGAGCTTACTGGATACCTCATCAGCAGCTTTGGCTATGTTATCTACTAACTCATACCCTTTTATTTCTAAGTGTCCAGGAACACAGCAATAAAAAATTTGGTGTTCCCGGCTACTTAAGTTTTTATTCAACTTTAGGATTTCAACTACAACTAGATTCTGGGTGTCAGAGAATGTTTCTAAAGCCTTTAGAGCATTAATGGAATCAGAATAAGAAATAAACATTCTTCAATGTTTAGATACAGATAAAACAGCATAATAAATTGCAGTCAATTTGGATGTCAGGATTGAACATTTATAATTCAATCATCTTCCCATCATATAATTTTCAATCGCAAAAGACATTCCAACATGACCGATTGCTTTCAATCCATCTGTATGCATGGGTAGAATATGTATTGCTGAATTAAAGGATCAGAAGAACTTTTTTTATTGAAATATTAGCATTTTCATTATTTTCTTAAAAGTCTGCTATCCTTTTTGGGAACAGTCATAATTCTATCATCTACTGCATCATCATGTGAGCTTTTGATCAACAACAGATCTGGAGAAGCATCATACTGTTGCTCTAAATATTGAAAAGCTTTGCTCAAGTTTCAGTACCTTTTGCACAGCTGATTTCTACATTTTCCATTTTAATTTGATCATCATCCTCACTCTCATGATGCAATTTCCATCTCGCACCACTATCACAATTGCAATTTGCATTATTCATTGGATCTATGGCATAAATTTTTCCTTCACTAACCAAAATTTAGAAACTTGGGTTGCTGTATTTTGTGTTTACCCATTCACAGGAACCTCATATTGAACAATGTTCATCACATCTTTTTATCCTTTCAAACATGTCTATGAATTCTTTGTCAATTGATATCAGGCTGTTAGTGTTGCTTTCATCTCTGCCATTTCTTTATCACATTTAATTTTATCACACGATTGAGAGACTGCTTTTTCTTTAGTCCCAGGCTTAAGCACACATATAAACCTTTTATCATAACACGTTTTAGCGCTTTGCAGAGCACTATCATTTTCAATTTTCATAATATGAGAAATGAGTTTTTTTTTTTTTTCTATACCACCATTTCACTGCTTCAACAACACTTAAAGCCATTGGCTGTGAGACTGAAATGACACTAGCAGAAAAATCACTTTTTTTTTTTTTTCCCTAACAATAACAATATCTTCGTTAAATTTTGCAATGAATTCTCAGTGCTGAAATAGTTCTCACAATATTTTCTACTTTATTTTGAAAAATTTTATAATTAAAAATACGTGCTTAGGACCAATATCTAAGAATGTGTAGCCATTTTTATGAAACATATTGAACATATATACACGTGTGCATAAAAGCATCTGTAACAGAAGAAGTAAGAACAGCAAAATCAAGAATATTCACTTTAGTGACGTCCTCAATCAAATACTACTAGAGCACAAACAAAAAATGAAAAAGTTCAACAAGTTCAGTTTTAAAATAACATGTTTTATCAGTTCATATGAAATAACATGGGCTACTAATATTAAAGTTACTTAATAAAACAATGTTGCATAAAACAAAAATGAACTCGAAAACTGAATATCAAAAGCACTGAGCTTCTTTTCACAGGATACCTAGAAATCTCTCTCTCTTATTCTCAGGAGGTACATCAACTAACAGATTTGAGACAAATTAAATATTACTAAACAAAGACATTTAACTAAATATTAACAGTTTTTTTTTTTTTTTTTTTTTTTTTTTGCCAAATCCAAGTAGGTCTAGTTTTACTAGAGCTGTTAATAAGCTAAAAAGTTACAACAAAAACATATATACAAAGATACAAATGTCACAGAAATTCACAAAAATACATAAAAAAATATATATAAATTTATAATATAAAATAATAAAATATTTATAAATTAGGTACTGAATTGTAAAAATATTCATTATTCATATTAATCTATATAAAACTTAAGAATGCAATATGACAAATACATATAAAATTTTAAGTTTTCGAATATCATTTCATATTTTTAAAAAAAAATAATTTAAAATTTGTATCACAAAAGATTAAAAGATTTACCATTAGCCGTATCATTATCAATTGCAGTTGATTTTAAACTCGCAGAACTTAAGACAGAATTTATTTTAGGTTGCTTTAAATCTGCTACCACCTTGTCTGTCTTAGTTTTGGATTTTGTGGCAACTTTTTTTGGTTCTGCTTTCAGTTTTTTCAGTACAACCGGTTTAGGCTCTTCCTTGGATGTACTTTTCTTAGTCTTTTGTCTAGCAGTTCGACTAGCACGAATGTTTTCTTTTTCTGTGGCTACGATTTTCTCAATTTGCTTGATTTCCTTTGCTTTAACCTCCTAAAGAAAAATTTGATAATAATAATAGTAGTTAGTCAAATATTTAAAATAAAAATATAAAGTTTGTGGTTGAAAAAGGAATTTTGATATACATTCACAGTTACAAAACATCAAAAACAATGTTGATGAAGAAAACATTCTGAATAAAATATATTTATAAAAGTTACTTCCCTTCTTACTTACAAGATCAAATGACTTTGTATACTATAAGTCTGGATATGCATATTAAAAGATAAAAACCCTCACATATGATTAAATTTTAAGATTTGATATATTGTTGATCTTCTATAAAACTTTTGGTAACATAAATATGGTCAAGTCAAAAATATAGTAATCTACATTATGTTGTGAGAAATGAATAGGAATTAACAGCTGAAGAATGTCACCCATCCACCAGGTTATAACTCACATTTGGTGACCAGACAAAAGCCCACTGGACGAAAGCGCACGTGACAAAAGCCCACAAAAAAGACCCCACTGGGATAATTGCCCACGCGACTAATACCCACACTGATGAAAGCGCACATTGATAAAAGCCCACACAGATAAAAACCCACATTGATAAAAGCACACACAGATAAAAACCCACATTGATAAAAGCTCACACTGACAAAAACCCACACCGATATATATGCTACGTTAAAATTAATATTTTTTCCTTTTTTTCTTCAGCTTCACAAAGCAGATTTATGAATAAAGATAAAATAAAAAATGAATAAAATTAATAACAAATAATTGAACAATAAATTTAAGTAGAGGAACTTATTTTATTTTGGGCTCCGAATGAATTAAAATCCTATATGTATATAGAACAGAGAGTCAATCAAAATAATATAATTAAAAACCTATACATGTATGTGTAATTATATATTTTTTATATTTATATTTACGCGACAAATGGAAGCGCCCTCGTTTAAGTCCGACAAAGGGAGGTGAAAGGGAATACTGGCCACACTGCTTCTTTTAATTTTACAAAATTAAAAGGAGTATAAAATGTATGTAAATTTTCATCATATACAGAGAATAATTTAACACTGCAGAAAATTTTGCATATAATGAATTTAATATGGAGAATTAAAGCCGAACTTTAATTTCAATGAAAAAAATAAAAGTACTGCATTCTCTTATGATTAAGAAAACATTTGTGTGCGCTATCACAAATACTGTTTTAATGGTGAGTTAAAAGCACGGTTTCAAATAATCTCGTTAAATTTTGACAACTTGGATTTTACATAAATTAATTTCATTCCCATTTGAAATTTCGTTTTTAATCATAATAATTATTACTCATAAAATTTTTCAGGAAGTCAATAGCTATTTTGGATTTCCTGAAAATGCGTGCTGTTTTTAAGTGAGCATTCGTCTTGTGGGCTTTTGTCATGCAGTTTTCTAACTGGCCGCTGGCTATTCAGGCAGGAAACCATTGCATTCATTTTCTTTTGCCCCAGCTGTGTGAAAAAGCAGTTAAAGAGAAGAGAGCCTTGCTTAATTGCTTTATCGAACCTGGGGTGCCAAAGAATGGCCTCAGAAGGGAAGGGGTGGCAGAAGAGAAATTAAAGGTTGATCAGAAATAAATTAAAGAGGAATTTATAAGTTTCTTTGTTAGTTACTAGAAAATAGCAATATCTGAAATTCCGCTCGCAACTGAAGTTAACCTCTTTCTTGCATTTCCTTACACTACTTCTTGAATAACTTTTTATCTAAGGATTTAGTTAGAATTTCAATTATTTTAAAAATTTCAATAACTGGAAAACGAAAGGAATTAACTATTTCTTAACCATTTTTAAAGGGATAACTCACTGTTTTTTCAGTAAAACTGCAGAGTGGAAAAATATGCTAGTTCCTGAATCGATAATGTCTCTAACAACTTTTCGATGAACTAATTAAACATGTCTGTTATATCGAAGCAAAGCCATTGCTTAAAAGTAAAACTGCTGAACTATTTCTAAAAAAAATTAAATTATTACATATATTAAAATTTACGTATAATATTTTTTCATTTTAACTTTCATATGGTTGAAAACGCAACCATATGAAAGTTAAAATATGAAACCATATAAAAGTTAAACTATTCGAATAATTTTAATAACGAAGGTTTCTGAACTCAAGAATAAGAAGATTTAAGAACCATGAGCCCAGCTTTGTAAGAAAAGCAATCTTGCACATTAAAAATAATTTTTATTTTAATAAAAAATATTAGGTTACTCGATTAACTGTAAACGCTTAAAAACAAGAGTTCATTTTAATTTACCGTAATTATTTATATACAGACTTTCAATAAAGGAAATTTAAACAGCAATTCGAAACTGAATTTCACTGGAACACTTCTTTTGTGGGTTTTATGCTGTTATTACATGTTGAACATTATTTTGCCTAGATTAAGAAAAAGAAACGCATAACATGTAAAAATTTATTATTTAGAAAAACTATCAAATTAAGGTCATTTTCTTCACCTCGAAATGCATTATTTTCCCCTATACAAATTTCATATTCTGACAACACAGAAATAGTAGCCACATAACTTGTAGGAGATATTTCTTATAAATCTCGTGTGTTGGCGATCAAGTAGAAAAAATGCTTAATTATGGAACTACGTTTTAAATAATAATTTTTCCCTTATTAAATGAGTTCAAAAGTTTCTAATATTTTGTTTTCTAGCATGAAATGTTTCACCAGTTTTTAAGATTCTTTCCTAAGAATAATTCATTTAGCAGAAGTTAGTAAGAAAAAGTAAGGTATACCTCAAATTTGATCTCTTAGGTTTATTAAGGTATGGCTACCAAATAAACATTTTTGAATTCAACATCAAATTTTAAACATAATTTTTTTTTAAATTTGTGTCTTAACTTTTATTTTCAAAAAACATGCACATAATCCGAACTTTTATGTAACAAAAGTTAGTATAAGAGAAGTGGGACAAATTAAATTATCTGTACATTCAGTCACTATTAAAAACTAATTCTGTCTAGAGTATGGGTCCTCAATCAGGAGGGATAGCCCTAAGGGGAATTTCACGGTGTCAGAGAGTAATTTAGTCAAACTTTTCTTTATGTATTTAGATTTAGTTTATGAATATAAAAAGCACTTATATTTAAAATTTCGGTATTTAACAACATGTTTTATACTTGTTTAATTTACAGTAAAAATAATCCATATTTAAACAAATGCATATGTACTTTTCAAGTTTTAGGAAGGAAAGGTTGAATGATTATTTAGCAATGGTGAAGGGCACATGAGAGAAGAACTGTTGAGAATCATTGGTCTAGACTGAACCAAGTTAAATTAAATCTATACTTTTATACTTCACAGATCTTTAGTTCTTACTGTAGAGTCATTAATTTTTTTTTTTTTTTTTAAATGCGGGAGACATGAAAAATAAGCAATGCCCTCTTCGAGAATAGAGCCTGGATCTCTCGAATACGATCCGATTGTACTAACCGTTACACCACGAAGGCATTCTGGAAGGAGGGAGAAAATACCTTATATACTCCCCCTTTTAAAGACTGGGTATTAGGAGACCTAGTCGTCAAATCTTGGTGGAGAAGAATCATCATGCACCACCTTTTTTTTAGTTCAGGCGTCATCCTGGAGACGTGAAAAATGAGCACTCTAACTTGAACCTCTCCAATACGCACCATGTGTGCTAACCATTACACCAACCATTGTCTTCATGGAAGACTTTCTAAGAGAAACTGGCTCGCATACAAATTACACATGGGGGAAAACTACGGAAACGCCCAAGCAGCCAGCCCGTCTGCGGGATTCGAAACTCGGACTGAACTACCAGTGTTCCTCGGCGGACTCTGTTGACCAGTGAGAAGTCACTAGCAATCTTACAGAAGGTCATTGACAATTTACATGATCCCGTGAACGATTAGATCTTACAACTTGTTTGTTAGCTCCATTCTTCAAACTAACATTCAAGCATAAAATTAAATAAAAATTTACATTTTACCTGGGTTAGTTTCATAAAAAAATTTCTATTGATTTCAAAAGAGAAAAAAAAAATTGAACATTTGTTGAGATAAGCAGTATGCATAACAACTTACATATGTTACATTCTAAACGTGAAAAAAAATTTTTTGATTGGTAGAACGTATCTCATCTAAGACTTAATCATTTATTTTGGATTCGCAAAACTTTCTAGACATTGTTCCTTTGAAAATAAATGTGAGAAAAAGTTCAAATATCAGAAAAAATAAATAATTAGTTAGACAAATAAAAATTAATAAATAATGGAGTAAAAGCTGTACATTAAGCAAGCGTCAGTCATCCAATTCTCAAGCTTTTCATGTAGGCACAAGGCTCAACAGCGGCTAAGCGGTAAAAACGCTGAACACCGATAGCTCGGTCCGGGATTCAAATTCCGATGGAAAGGCTGAATGCAAGGGCACTTTCGTGATTTTGCCCTTGCGTAGCATGTATACGAGCGAGTTTCCTTTAAAACGTCCTCCACGAAGGCATGCCTTTCCTTGACTTAGTGCCATTTATGTCAGTCCTCTTTTCATGCCGAAATAGTCTCGTTTATCCGCTGTCGTTCGCACTTATTCTGTTATTATAGTTGGAGGTGACTGTACTTAAATTTGTAGATATGTTGACTTCTAACAGTTGTTCCATTCTCCCCTCCAAATAAATAAATACATAAAATGAAAATTAAAAACACTATTTCAAGTTGCTGTAGTTGAAAGATTAAAAGGTTACATTTGGAATTCATTTTATGACAGGTTGTCAGATGACAGTTTTAATTTATTAAGAAATCTAAAAGAAAATATGTCTAGAAAATCACCAAATTATAATTGTTACATTCAGAACAGCTTTCAGTGAGAAATATGTTTAAACTTTGATAAGCTCAGTCTAAAGTAAGGAATAAAATATCTCTTAGCCAAGTTTTCATTATGCTTAACTGTTTTAATATTCTTAAACTACTAATCTTAAACTAAAAAGGAACTAAACGAAAAACTAAAAAAGAATAAAATAAAGTTAAAATTAAGCATTTTTAATAAAATAAAGTGTTTTTAATTAAAAAGTTAATAATTTTAATAATGAAATATAATTATATTTAATCTCAGCCATATTACCTTAAACAGCATGAGAAAAACTCCACAATGACATTTTTCATTTTCACATACGCATACCAAAGTTAAATAAGTAAATAAATAATACAATGCAATTTCAGATTTATCATCGAAACGTTACAGCTAATAACTTAATCAGACAGTTGAAAGTTTGCTTTCAACCTAATAAATTAAACAAATAAAGTAGTGATAAAATATACAAACAGCCATATTTGAGACATTAAAATTCAGATCTGAATACTCCATTTACTATAATTAAAATTATAAATACACAGTTTAGTAATAAAAAAGCATAAGTCGCTTTTGATTATGTGCACTCTTATCAGTGTGGGCATATAACTATGTGGGCTTTTATCAGTGTGGGTATTTGTCGCATGAGCAATTATCATAATGGGCTTTTGTCGTGTGCGCTTTCGTCCAGTGGGCTTTTGTCTGGAAACCCTCACATTTAGTATTTACAAACAGATTGCTTATCATTACATTTCAACTTGACCTATTCAAGTAAAACATCCTATACATCTATGCATAAAATTATATCAGTATTTTCAAATATATAAGCTATTTGCAGAAACCTACATATAAATATGTCAACTAATTACAATAACCTCACTGCTTTCATTTAAAATGATGAAAACAATGATTCACAATATTCTCCAGGTAAACAAAAATGTCATTAGATAAAACTTTGCTCAAGTCTTAAGATCCTTACTTTTTACTTCACTAGCGAATAAAAGCTTTCATATTTTAAAATTTTTTTTCTTCTTCTGATAATAATGACAAATAATCTCTATTTTAACAAAGAGATTTTTAGACACAATAAATGCTAGAAACTTATTGTATTAACAGGATAAAAACATTTTAGTTACTTCTTTTTGATGCACCATTTCACCAGTGAGGAGATCTTCATCAGCAGTAATCTGCAACGTCTGAAGTGAAACCCTTCGTCTTTGATTTCTAATCTATAAAACAAATTAAACATATCAATTTATTCTCGTTAACTACAAATAAGCAATAAGAGACAAATACAGCCAAAAATTCAGCATTAGTTTAAAGTTGGTTTAAAGAAAAAGTACAAATTTCAAGAAAGCTAGGCTTCAGAGGCCCTTTTATTGAAGAATCAAAAATATTCGAAAATGAAATAGGGGATCTCAGTGTGGTTTTTAGACATTTTAGCCCACTTTTAACTGGAACAGTCACACAGAAGAATTTAACAGAAGGAAAAAAAAAAAAGCAATAATGATGTTGCATGCAATCTACTGCTTTCAGTTAGTTATTTCTTCTTAGACAGACCAACTAAAATGCTGTTTTTAAATTTGAACAAACAATAAAATGATGGAAAAAACAAATTAAAACAACTAATTTTAGTTCACAAACTGAAAAGTAAATAATTACATAAAAGTTATAGATTGTATACTATATCATTACGAAACACCAGCTGAATTCTGGGAAGAAACATTTTTTAATCAAATAGGCTCTTTTTGCATTCCATCATTTACATTTAAAAATTGTCAATCAACCAATATTATTTTTCAATATTAAATACTAATCCCAATATCAAAAGTCTTACCACTCATTTGGAAGTTCAAAAGAATGTATTAAAATGAACTAATTTTTTACTAAATTTACAACTTTCTCTTCCCTAAATCCTTATCCTCAAACGGAATCTAAATTTTGCAAATTTCAGTAACTAAGAAAGAAAAAAATTGTCAGTTTAATTATTCCTAGTGTTAATTTCAACAAATTATTCAGTTATATCTCAACTGAAAAGAAGAGAATATACTTTGATTATCTGTACCCCCACCAAAAACTCATGAAAAAGTATAAAAGTATTCATGAGGTAAACACAGTATGTCACTATAAAGTATACATATGGCAACCAGACATGCACAGAGTCATTTCTGTTTTGGCCAGAGTAGCCAAGTAATGCATAGACTCCAACCTTCAGCAAACCTTGTCAGTAGTCAACGCGCGAACGACATTTTTACAACTTTGAAAATGTGCGCGTAGCGTATGTTGTAATTAACCATTCATTAATTTTAAATTAATAATTAATTGTAATCAATTTTATTACATTTAAAATCCATATACATATAAAACTGAATAATTAAAAATATACCTTGTAAATTATATGCACATTTAATTAGAAATTTTCTTTTAACTCCTCAAGCATTCACTAATAAAAAGTACTTCAAATCACTACTAATCATAGAAAAAATCAGAAGCTATAAATCATATCTTTATTCTGGATATGATTTCTACAGGGAAATAAAATTTAAAATAACCAAGAATGATACATATAAGTATTAAACAAAATACGCATAATTTATGAATGCAAAGATTTATATGTAGCATGCTTAGCAAGCTTAAGTTCTGATTTGAGAATGTTTTTTTTATAACACAGTTCTTCATTTGCCTGCATATTTATTTTTTTCAATCAAAACTGCTTCAAGAGTTTTAAGACCTAAATTTGGTCGAAATTCCGTCTGATTTTTTTAACAATAGAAAAAATTCTTTCGCAAGCTGCATTTGAATGAGGTATTATTAAGACAGCAAGCATTACAGAAGGCAATACTTTGTATTTAATACACCCATTCATATTTTTTAATTTGGCAATTTCTCCCCCATGCTATATCAATACGCAAATCTACAATTTCTTTCAAATCATCTACTTGATACATGGAAAATTCAATTTCTACTTGATTAAGACATTTTTCATCAATAATGGATGGAAAAGTATTCATCAAGTAAAGAACAGATGAAAATGAGACTTCAGTTCTCAAGTTGATGTCAGCAACAACTTCAGCATGTTTTTAGAAATGGATCACTCAGTGGAAATTTATCACAATTATATATGAACATGCAGTTACAAAAAAAAGCTCGCACAGAATCGCACAGAATTGAAAAATGATTTCACTTCACTTTTATTCCACTTGGCATTTTTTAAATATAGTCTTGTTTCCGCACCAATCACTAAATTTTCATTTTCTTTTTGTTTACTATACTTCTGAAATGGAATAGACGTTAGAGTAAACATCTTCATTTTCTTTAGAAATTACTGATGGTTTTACGAATCTAACAAATAAATTCATTAAAAGTTCAAAAAGTTCTCTTCTCAATTTATGTATATAAGGAGCTTGTTGTTGCAAATTAATATTTACTGTTATAAACAAAGGCAAAGTATTTTTCAAAAATAACAAGTACAATTTGGTGGTCGGTGACTGTAAAATTTTTTTAATGTTTTGCAATCTCTTTCCTTCATTCTCACTGTTATCTGGTTTATCTCCAAAAAAAAATTTATCACAGCATCCCACTGTTCCAAAATCCTTGTTATAGATTCTAAAAGAGACAACCATCTCGTACTGCACTGCAATATATTCAAAATTTTATTTTGAGATTTTGCATTTGTCCCAAAATTTGTTGAGCAACTTTGAAGCTATGCTTCCGTTTCGAACTTTCTCCAAGTAAAAATATATAGCTATTATCAACATTTCAATTTCTGAGCCAATTAATTTTTCAGTAGCTTTTTTTGCAGCTATATGCAAGAGGTGGCACGGACAACCTCGGGTGATTATACTTGGTTGATGCATTTTGATAAATGATGCTACACCTTTAAACTTTCCAATCATATTACTAGCATTATCTGAAGAAAAAAAATGATAAGCAATTTTTCCATTCTAAACCTTTGTTTTTAAAGTTTTTTCATTTATACAATTAAAAATACCTTCTCCTGTGTATTATTCGTGCATTCTAAAATAGAAATCAATGAAGTAATTATCACTCCCTTTTCTTTACTGTAGTATGTTTATAACCAATGGGTACAGTTTTGTTATCATTGTTATCATTACTTCATCATCAGTACTTAGAGAAAATGATGTACTGCACACTGATTTTATAATATCAGCAACAGTATTTTCTGCAAGCGTTTTCACAATAGCAGCAGTTTTGGTATGACCGCAGCTAAATTTTTTTGCTATGGCAGAATCCGGAAACATTGCTTTGAAAAGCTCTTTGGAATGATCCGAAACAGAAAGCGATAGATTATGTTCAATTAAAAAACGAACAAAATAGCATTCGGCTTTATAGGATCTGTTTCATCATCTTTTATTAAGAAATTTGTTATTTCTTAGATTTACGGTGCCAAGTTCTATATGCTTTTGAGAAAACACACATGCCGTTTACAGTCATCTTTTCCGCCATGAGAAACTAAGAAGTCTTTGTTGCATACACTGCAGTGTGCGTGATTCACAGAAATTTCGGACGCTTTAATGCATGCAAAATTCTGAAGAATATGAATCTTTAAACTTCTGCTTTGATAATTTTGGCTTCTTCGTTCGAGGCAGCATTATGATTAAAAATCTTTCACCTGATTCACAGTTCACAAGACACACGCTAAGCTCTCGCCGTAAACTACACAATGCAGCCGAATGCAGCCTAAACACGCATCAGCGAGGAACCTGGGAGACAGACAATTGGGTGGAACTATTGATAAGTCGTTAACGGTTGGAGTTACTGATCTACGATTGGCTAATTCTTCAAAACTAGGAACGCACTCAACACGTGATATATGATAACACGAGTATTCAGCCAATCATCGGATGAATTAGTTGGTTCCGTTTTGCGTACTGGTTCTCCTGCTCTTGTTTCTGTAAAATCCGTAGTTTTTTCCATACTTTTCGTAGCTCGTAGTTTTTCATGAATTTCCATAGAAACTACGGAGAATCCGTAGTAGTTGGAGTCTATGGTAATGCAACGCTCCATTTTTTCCCCTCTCAACGAAAACAGATTGGTAGGTACATTAGAAGAAAAATAGTAAACAAAAAATACAGAAGTATTGTAAAGTTTTCTGAAGCAGGTGTGAAAAATGTACGATGCCCTTTCCAGGACTTGACCTCTGGGCTTCTCGAATATGTGTGGAGTATGCTTCCAATTACATCTCAAAAGCATGCGGAAAGGAAGGAGAAAATACCTTACATACTCCACCTTTTAAAAGGCGACTGGAAATTAAGGGACCCAATCACCAAATCCTGGTGGAGACGAATTATTGTCCACCATCTTTTGGATCGGATGCCACTTGTAGAGTCATTAAGCTATTTTGAAACAGGAAAAGTGAAAATGTGCAATGCACTTGTCAGGACACGACTTGCCTGGACCTCTCGAATACGTGTTGAGTACGCTTCCAATTACCTCATAACGGCATGTAGAAAATACCTTATAATATTTCCAGAAAAAAGGTAAATGTTTAATTACTGATGCTTCTAGTTTTTTTTTTTTTTTTAAATTTTGATTGCACTTTTATGGAATTCTTAATGCATCATCATTTTGAAAATGACACTTGCCTTTGACAAATTAACTTTCTGAAAAATTTTGAATCTCACCAAGGGATATCCTGTTACAGAAAGGACCCCATTTCTCTGGAAAGTCAGCAGCGAGTTCATAAATACTGTTTAAAGTCGGCAATAAGATCGCGAATTTTTAGCAAGGTTACAGATAATCAAAAAGTAAGTTTACACGAAATTCAATTTTTATCTAAATATTCTATTTCTAAAGCTAATGATAGTGAAATATCACTTATGAAAAACATAAATATATATATGTACACAACATACATTGATGGAATTGTGAAACTTCAGATTTTACACCTCTGCAGTTCCAAATTTTTTAAAATCTAAACTGCTAATATATATATATATATATAACTACTAAAAACTACTTATTGTTGATTTTGCTTGGTTTTATACTTTTCTCAAAATTAGCAAAACTTGCATTTCATTGCACCATATGATATTCCTAAATATGGAACTTCATCATAAACTTCAAATTTGATTTTACTACATTTTCCTCATTATCTTTCAACAATATTTTAAAAACTTTATTATAAAGTCAGGAAATATTTTTCCTGGTATTCAGTTACACTTTCTTTTGATGTGAAATTATTTTATATTAATGCTTCAGTTGAAAAAAGTGCTGAAAGATTTTTGAAACCACACCTCGTGTACTCTATTTCAGTCTTAATGAAACTACAGAACTTACTAATACAGTCAAAGTCGTTAATTCGGACACCCATAATCTGGAATGATCTATAATCCGGACCTCAAAGCTACAAACTTTCTGAGCATGCATCGCGTTGACGCATGCGCGTAAGACCTTTACGGCTGCGAATATGCGTGTGCGCAAAATTCGTTTACGAATGCGTGTTTAATGTATAACAGACGGTATAAGCTAAGCTAAAATTATCTAATTCAGTTAATGTTGCAGACTGCGTTGTTCCTTAATCTTCGAATTGGATTCAGCTTAATGTCAAATAGAATTTCTGATATATATTTACTAATATGTAAAGGATCTACAAAGCGAAAGTATGTTTCGAAGTCCATTAAACAAAAAGTGGAATTGCTGAAAAAAATGGATAAAGGCATATCCTTTGTTTATATAAACTTTAACATTTGTTTATCTAGACTGTTTATCTTTAACACTGCAGCGCGCGCAATGAATTGGAAGTTGATCAGTCAGCACTATCCTTATCTTCAGGACACATGTTTTTATTTTTATTTGGCTTTTAATTCCTTACTAAATGTAGTATTTCATCTCGATGTACTCTGTCTTTGATATGATTTAAATCAAATTCCTGGTCATTATAATTCGCTTCCGATAGCGAAGAAAGTGACAGAGGTTATTGAAAACGAAAAAATTTCAATTGACAAATTAGTCGGTATTCTCAACACAGCAATTATAGGACTTGAACAACGGAACTTTGTAACTGAACAAGAAATTATGTCTGTTTATAGAATTAAAGAGAATGTATTATCACATAAAAAACGAAGCAACTTAAACAACTTACATTGAAAGACATGTTTAATAAAGTAAACAAAAAAATATTAAGTTTTTTTTTTTTTTTAAATTTTGATACCTTTTAGATCATAATTGTTCTTTATACCATAAATTACGGTTTCATATTTTTAATTTTATAATTTCTGCATGCCATCTTACTAGATTTAAACTGATGATCTATAATCCGGAAAAATCGATAATCCGGAATCGCCGAAGTCCCGACGAGTCCGGATTAACGACTTTTGACTGTATTTCAAGTTTTACTCACTTCATTTTCAAAAGCAATTATTATGTCAAGCTGATAGATTAATTATAGAAAGCTCTATCAGTCCAGAACATGCTGATATTTACATGCATATTGTAGAATATATTGGTTCTTTGAAGGACATGAAATGTTTACACCATCAAAATCAAATTTTTTTAACAAATCAGTACCAAACTTATGATTAAATTTATCTAATATTGCAAATAAAAAGGTTTTAATATGTAATATGATATATATTCACCATATTAATGAAAATATATTGGAGATGTACAAACAAATTGAGGAAATACTGAAGAAAATCTTCTGGATCTTTAAAAAGAAGCCTAAGGAAGAAAAAAAAAAGCAGTTCAAAATTACATCTGCGTTATTAACATAAATATAAGCTTGACCCTATTTTTATTTAGTGTTCAAATTATATTACAAAAAAGGGTATCCAAATTTTAATATAAAAACTAGGAATAATGAAAAAAATCTGCCCATATTGAATACTCATATAAGATATTAAAATTTTTAATATGAATATTAAAAATTTAGAACCAATGCTGCAATCCATTTAAAATTACAATCCATACGACTTTCTTATGCCCCTTGGTGAATTATAATAAAATTCACGATGGTCTCTGATTGCTATAAATATTATGTTATGCTTTAATTTAAACAAATCCAACTGTAACTAAGCATACATACAAGCTACAGGCTATGAATACAATTCTGATTGGCAGTTAAGAGAAATATTAGCGGCTTCATGTAGCTGCCAACCTTTAAATTTAAAAAGTAATGAGGTTCTTGTACTAAACGACAATGCCATTTCAAAAGAACTCCAGACTGATTTAAATTCACTTTTATATTATTTATAATACAATTCAGATTTAAAATATACAGTACTACTGCATTACCCATTCAACCGTGACAGGAATCAACAGGCAAAGTGCTATATTGACAAAATAGACAACACAGAATTTTATAAAATTGAATTTTATCTGGTACACAGCTAATGGTTTGCATGCTCATTATGATAACACTTGGTTTTGAAATTCAATAGTTATGTTTGTGATTTCAGCTTGCCGATTAGTGTGTGCAGTGTTTCCTCTGCCTCTTCCTCTTGTAAGTAATTGTAATGCAACTGTAGAATTTGTCTCCAAGAAAAAAGATGTTTAATTTTTTTCAGAAATATGGGATTTTGCCTAGTTGTAGATAGAGTAGGGCCATTAAATTGTATTTTACAAATGATCAAATTGTCTGAGTCAGCTTGGAAATTCATTTGGAGAAGATGTAAGGAAGGATAGTAAAAAGACTGTTTTGAAGAGATTTTAAAGCTGATAGCTGAAAAGTACCCACAGGCTGAAAAAATGTATATATTTTCTGGATTGATTTTCATTATTGAGTAATATTATTAGCTAGCTTTTGTTTTTCTCTGATGTCATTATTATAGAAATCTTGCAGCTTTGAACTAGTTTACAAACTGTTCTGCAGAGAATATGATAATTTTCTCTAAATAAACGCAATTCTAAATATATTTAGTACTAGCATAACTAACTAAATTTAGTACTAGCATAGTTAGCAATTCACTAACTATACTTAGTACTTAAATTCCGAATCTAGTACAATAATATTGTTACTGAGATACAAATCTTCACATTTTTTTTTTTTTTTTTAATATTAAAACTGGTCAATGTGTACATGGAGAGCAGTGGCAAGTTTCATCATGATGCCAAAAACTTTGTGGTTTCCTGGCGTTTTTTAAGTGAAAGCATATCATTGTGCACATGGGCAGAAGACCGGGGGGGGGCAATGCTTTATTACATTTTTAATTTTATCAATGCCCTGTCGCTTTTAGGTAATTTTCGGCGTTTCATTATGGATGTTTTATGCAATTTTCATTGCACCACAGTTTTTTAAAACGACTACTGTTTTTCATGCATTAGACTGGAGAAAAATTAATCGCAGATTGTTGACTTTGCAGGAGTGTTGGGTGGATAATGTGATAGTACTAAATATAGTAATATTTAACCATTCTAAAATTTATGCGGCCGCTCAGATAGTATAGTTAGCGACATTGATTGCCACACTGATAGACCTAGCTTCTACTCCAAGAAGGCATTTATGTTTTAAATATATAGTGTCTGCGTGGCATGGGACGCTCAAAATACATGGGAAATCAAAAATCCTCTCCAGTTTGATGGTAGAGGAAGGAAAGAGACTCTCAGACCATCCTCTGATATGCTCTCCTTAAAATTGGGGTGGAACTGAGCAATGTCATACTGTCACTTGTTAGTTCTACTATCTTCTATATTGTGTATGCATGGCATGTGCCATGCATGCACAATAGATGATAGTACAACTAACAGGTGCAATCCTGTATTCCTTTCCACTGATAAAATACGTTGACTTTTCTGATTAGGTCAAACAAGTAAGATTAGCCATAACAATTTTTTTTTTTTCCTTGGCCAATTTCATTTTGCACTTTTCTACTGAGAAAATCCTGAGTACGTAAGAAAATTTGGCATATTTGTTGAAAGCAATAATAACAAAAATGTGGTTTACGCAAGATATTTTGCTTTCTTACTTTTATAAATAATATAAATGCTCTCTTGATGAATGTAAGTTTATGAAAATAGAGACTAAAATAGGCAAATATACAAATTTAGTTAATAAAGGCTCTATATATCCAAAAGCCCACACTGCTCAGAGGGTTAATGAAATAACTATAACTTTTATAAAGGTATTTTTTTGTTTGTTTATTTAACTGCATTACATTTTGTGTTTACCGACTAATTTAAATTAACAATATATATTCTTAATTAGAACAAGGATTAAATAACAATGAACATATTAAATAACAATAACTTGGCAACAAAATTAAGTTTTATACCATATAAAAGTTGATTGATTAGTATAAGAAGACAACACATGTACTTAATAAAATGCAATCCTCATTGAAAGGTATGAAGAAAGTAAACGCATTCTAAGAGGAGTAAATTCCAATTTTTAATTAAAAAAGATCGAGTTTTTACTTAGGCATTGCTCTGCACAAAAACATACTTAAGCTATATTTAGTACTTAAATTCCAAATATAGTACAACAATATTGTTACTGAGGTATAAATCTTTACATTTTATTTCAGTCAGGAAAATTTGAAATTTCTTATTTTAAGCCTTGGTGTCAAACTTGTAACTATAATACTCAACTTTGTTTCAATGTAGCATATTTTGATTAAGAAATTAAAATAATATACATTAACAAAATATAGAAGTGTTTATACTTCTAATATGGTCATACTATTCAAATGAGCATATTTATGAGATGCATAACTTGTTGCATAATTCTATGAGCTTAGATGAGTAACTTGATGCATAATTCAATACGTATTTAAAAAACATCCCAACATCACGTCAGTTACAAAGCAAGCAAGTTAACTCCATTCAATTCTATAAGATTATTCTCTTATGAGATCTAGGATAATTTGTTGCAAACTTATTCTCTTGTACCTAAAACATTACAACACATAAAAATAATTTTCTTTTTCTTTGCATTTCCTGACACACATATTAACAATTATTTTCCATCTCTTATTAGCCTGTTGAATTAAATAACTATATAAAAATGTATGGATTTTACCAATACTTAATGAAATGTCATGCACTTATAGAGAGAGAAAGGAAAACAAAAGATGTATTATAAAATATAATTTGCTTTTTAATAAAAAATAAAATGGAAGCACTTCCGCAAAGAACCCGGTAAATGTATTGAAATTTTTTAGATGAAATAGTAGATGCAGATTTTAGTTTATTTATGAAGCATGAAGTGACAAATCACAAAATATGTAATCTTAAGAATAAAACAACAATAATTTAATAGCATTATTAGACGAAGGAAACTCATTATTAAACACTTTCTTTATGTTTCCATATGTATGGTCGTATTTCTCTCTATATATACATATGCATGATAAAGAAAGCTAATTAATCTGACACGCTTGCTGGAAATCATATGCAACAATCCAAGAACGAAAATGAACGAGACCTAATTTGAAACTTGTATGCTGATTCATGGGCAAAATTTATCAAATACTCCAAGAAGGCTTCATGGGAAAATTTATCAAAATCTATGCCATTCTGAAACAGTTTATTTTTTTTTTTTTAACTTTAAAAGCTAACAGGGTGTTGAATTAATTACAAAATTGAATACATATTCCTCCCCATTTTTAAAAGAAAGAAAAACAACTTTCTCACTCGTAACATATCAGATAAACGTCAGTCAAAATATTACTTTATAAATTACTTACAGAAAAATTTAAAACAATACTTTAAGAAATGAAAAAATATTGCTTAAGCCTAAAATTAAAAATTCAATTAAGAAATGCACTCATACAAAATGCAACAAATAGCCGGTATTCTTATACCCTTTAAATCTTTACGAATTAAGAAAATTTCGGACGTGAAATTTTACTTGTCTAATATCTTAACTCTTAGACTGTAAATAAAATTATTTCCTTACCATCGCTTTAAATATTTAAAATCACCGCGACTTGCAAGACAGGAAGACAGACGTCCTGTTTTGCACTCCTACGTCTTTCTGCCCTACACTGATAATACTAATCATGCAAATTAGAAAATGAAAAGTTCCCTGGGAAATGGGAGAAGCAAATCTAAAATGCTTTTAAAAAACTGTAGTTTTTATAATCAAAAATATTATTTAACACTTAATAGTAATGTAGTTTTCCACATATTTTTGTAACTAATTAAAGTTTTAATTGGTAATTTACTTGTTAATTTAAATTGCAATTACAATGACATAATAAAATAAAGTGAGCTATTTCTATCTATCATGCAATATTAATTTCAAATCTTTCATATACGCACTTTTTTAATGTTTCCCCCCCCCCCAAAGCCAAAAGTACTTTTTTCAAGTGAAAAGTTTACCTGCAGGTTTCCAATTTTAAAATTGGTTTTGAGTGTGCAAAATAGTGTGGGAATTTTTGTTTTATCGCTTCCATTTTCCCTATAAATTAAGGTAAATAAAGCGCTTGGTTTATTTAGTTATATGATATATTAAATATTCCAATGTTAGCTTCTGTGAATTTACTATAAGATAAAGCATGCAATCAATTTATTGCCGTGTTATAGTTGAAGCTAAATTGCGGCTGTAGACCGCACTTGAAACTTGTATTTTAAGTAATATTAATAGAATAATTACAGGAGTGTAAGAGATTGGATAATAGTGGTTTCATGTTACCACAATAAACATTAAATTTATCTTATTCCCAAGTAGTTCATATAATTTGAAGCCTTGTTAATACTCCAGCAAAGAGAAAGAAAAAAATTATTAAAAAGGTGCTATATTTATTGCACTTGAAACAGAATTTTTTTTTTTTTTTGTTTGCAATTAAGTATGTCTGCATCTAAATTCGTACGTTTTATCATTGAAGTTCTGCGTCTAATGTGTAGTGTGCTACCGTTGATATCACAAAGATTAAATATAATGATAGAAAAATTTATGTCATGAAAATTTAATTTGTATCCAATAAAAATTAGCTAAAAAGGAAAGTCATAAAATTAAGCAACAGGATTGAAATTATAAATATCATTTAGCATCTTCATTTTATAATTGTCGGATTGTGAAATCCATCTCAGTTTGCATGTGGAAAAAAAAAAAAAAAACAGCTACAATCATTATCTAACTGTCTATATATTTTGGCATACATGTTTTCCATCAGACTAAGCAACACTAGGTTGCCAATCCAACTGCAAAACAACACCCAGGGGCTCAACCCCTGTGTTCGCATCTTGGAGAGGATCGACGCCGTCGCAATAAGACAACACTGGTTGTCGCCACCTGCTGATGACAAGGCTGCCCGTTGCCTAAGAATAGGACCCAGCAAAACTGGAGTGCCATCCCCAGGCAGCTACCCATAATACTACCCTGGGCTACTGTAACCTTAAGCTTGCCAGATCGACAGGCCGACCGATAAGTGGCCTGCGAGACAGGTGACCAATAAGCGGCCTGGCCTTTAGAACCACAGGTTTGTTATTTGTATACCCACGTGACTACTTAGGTACAGATCAACAGATCATAGCCAGTAGTTTTGCAGAGTTCTCTACGTCGACCCCAAAGGGAACACAATTGGGAAAAATGAAAACTGAAAAATAGTTCTGTATATAGATGTATATACAGTACAAAGTCCCATATCTGAACTCATCGGGACTTTCACGATTCTGGATTTGGGATTTTTCCGGGTATTAGATCATCAGTTTAAATCTAGTAAGATGGCATGTAGAAATAATAAAATTAAAAATATGAAATCATGATTTATGAAATAATGAAGCATTTATGATCTAAAGGGTATCAAAATTTTCAAAAAAAGCTTAATACTTGTTTTTTTACTTTATTAAACATTTCAAGTTGTTTAAGTTGCTTTCTTTCTTTATTTATTTTTTTGTTTTTGGTTAATACTTTCTCTTTAATTTTATAGACAGACATAATTTCTTATTCAGTTACAAAATTCCATTGCTGAAATCCTGTAACTGCTGTGTCCAGAATTCCGACTTAACTTGTCAATCAAAATTTTTTCGTCACTCTGTCTATAGAGGTATTTTCTGGATCTATAATCATACTACAGATTTTGCCATTTGGTAATTTGGTTGAGGAGCATTATTATCACAGTGAAAAACTTCTTTTATATCCTCTTCATTCATTACCGCTTCTCCACATTTCTTTACAAAATCCGTTATTTTGAAAATCTCACCTTTGGTTTGTGATATCTGAAAACCTTCAGATTTGCGGCTATCGTCATAAAATTTAGCTATCGTTCACTATGCATATTTGGCTATGTATTATGAGATTGGCGACTAAAGATAAGTTTTGCTAAATTTTATCTTGCTTCTATCGCATATTGAGACAATTAAGCCTGAATTGTATTAGTTTAGTTATTTATTACACTTAACGTCTGTTTCTTGCACATGCCTAATGCTTATCTGAGTCCTGAATAAATAAATTCTCACATATACTTAAGGCTTATTGAGAGCCAGTGCTAGATATCTTATCAATGTGATGCAATCTCTGTGGCTCCTAAATTCTGCTACAAAGCATCACCCTTTGTCTTCCTTAAATTCTGCCGCCCGGTGCAGCCAACTCTTTCGCTTGTTCTGAGTTCTTTTTCGCAATGAACTCTTTCGCTTGTTCTGGGTTTATGTGATTAACAAATCAGTTATTCTGAATTCAAATAGTACTAAATGTAATCTTTTGGCATATGAGTATAATTAACAAAATCTACTTACTTAATTTAATCTATTTAATACATATGGAAAGAATTATTTGTTAAATTTTTCTTGTCAACATTTCTTAGTGCATTTAACTTAAATCTGTAATCATTGTCAAGTGTAATATCAACATGAAAGATTACCATACCGTTTCTCAATTACTAATATATATAAAAAAAAAAAAAATTAAAAAAAAAAGTAAGTTTAGGCATCACTCTATGAGTCATTACTCAAGTTGTCATTTGTTGATAAACATGCGATGATTAAAGCAAAATATAATAAATAATGATTTGCCAGGTTGGTGTCAGGGGTATAAAATATTAGTAGGTGTAAAATCAACGATGTATCTGTTGAAGGTTTTGGTTTGAGATGTATGACAGGCAGATATGCAGCTACGAAGCCAAATTATTGATCATACAAATTTATGCGAAAATGATTGTTTCTTCAATAATGAGGTGTTTTACTTATTGCTCAAGTGAAATTAAGAATCAGGACTTTACGTGTTTTATTATGCATGGGAGAAGGAGGAAAACAAATGTGCATGCATAAAGCACTAAAAAAAAATATAATAAAAAATACTTTGTAGTGGCCTTTGAGGTTCAGATATTGGAAGTCCGGATCTCGGTGTACTGGTCTGTTCAGAAAGTATCAGGACTGAATTTATTATGCAAAACAGGTTTTGAGTCAATCTCCTTCAAAATGTGTTCCATTGGCAGTAACACACTTGGGCCAACGATGTTTCCAGTCCTCGAAACATTTCTGGAACTCCGATTTTGGGATGGCCTGAAGCTGCTGCATCAAATTCTGTTTTATCGTCTCAATGTCCTGAAACCGGTGTCCTCTTAAAGTGTTCTTGATCATGGAAAAGAGCAAGAAATCTGGAGGTGACATGTCCGGCGAGTAAGGAGGATGTGCTACTTGGATTGTTCCATGTTTTGCCAGGAACTGCAGCACAAGATTGCTGGTGTGCTCTGGGGCTCAGTCATGATGAAGCTTCCAGCGAGAGGACGCCCACAACACCGGTCGGTTTCTGCTAACAGCCTCTCTTAATCTCCTCATGACGTCCAAGTAGAATTCCTTGTTCACTGTCTGGCCCTGGGGAGCGTACTCATGATGAACAATTCCATCTGCATCGAAAAACACAAGCAACATGACTTTGATCTGGCTTCACACCTGTCGTGCTTTCTTTGCTGAGGAGACCCAGGGCTTTTCCATTGTGATGACTACTGCTTTGTTTCGGGATCATATCCGTAAATCCACGACTCATCTCCAGTGATTACGAGCTTCATGAACTCGGGATCGTTGCTTGCACTTTGAAACAAATCAGATGTGATTGCCAGTCATTGGAATTTCTGATCCTCATTGAGGAGACGTGGCACAAGCTTTGCAGACACTCAGCACATGTTCAAGTCCTTTCTCAAAATTTCATCACATGATCCTATGGAAACGCCACACTTCTGTGCAATTTCTCGGACTGTTAAATGACGATCAGAGCGCACCACAGCCTGCACTTGTGCAATCTTGTCCTCACTGTAAGAGGTAGACGGGCGTCCAGAACGGGGATCACTGTCCACTGATTTCCGACTCTCCTTGAGTCACCAGAACCACTTGAAAACCCGAGCACGACTCATCGCCTCATCTCCAAATGCTGTTTTATTATCTCGTAGGTTTCGGTGCCTGTTTTACTGAGCTTAAAACAAAAATTGATACAAATTCGCTGCTCCGTGTTTTCAGACATTTTCTGTTTTCGACGAACACACGCAAACACTCCACATGAAAGAAGTCAGTGTGACTAAATGGCGTGCTGTACAGACCTGCCGGTTTTTGTGAAACATGAGCATGCATGATGCGCACAGTCCCACTGCTAGTGGTTTTCTGGAATAAATAGAATAAATTCAGTCTTGATACTTTCTGAATAAATCTTGTATATATCTTCAATAGGAATGAAAATAAAATAAGTGTAAGTTGCAGTATATTGTGTAATTCATACATAAGGTAATTCTTCGCATGGTGCGAGATTGAAAATGCTACCATACTTGTGTACTTTTGGGTCTAGTGCCCTGCTAAAGGGAAAATACCTCTAAGTTTACTGTTTTAGTCAGGTGGACTTGTTTGTATTGTAATCATAAAATAATTTTCATTTATAAAATGTTATTAAGTGCACGGTTCAAATGTGTACACCATTTTGAATTTTACCCCTTTTTATATTTTTTATCATCTCAAAAGTTTTAGCTTGCCTTAGTAAAAATAAGTGTAAAGTTAGGCAAAAATTAATCTTAGTTTGGTGTAGATTTCAAATAAAACTAGAAATTTTGTAGAATCATTAGATTTGTCAAAGCAGGGGATGATCAAAGAGCAGTGCCCTTCTTGAACTCGAACTCCAGATGTGCTTACCAGTTACAACATAAAGGAATAGAATGTAGTAAAAATGGAGAAAATGCCATATTTTTACCTCCACTCCCCAACTGTCTCAACAAGGACAGTTGGGGAGGTAATAACCAATTCAAAAAGGGAGGGTCACCGAGTATTTTTTTTTTTTTTTTTTTTTACTTGAAAAGATGATCTTGGATCGTCATTAAAATCAATACAGTTTTGTTCAAAATCTATGTCTAGCAGTTTGCTTTTTAGTGTCATTTAAAATTTTACATTAACATGTTCCAATTTTCGTTGCTAACTTTAAATACTATAGTTTTTCAAGATTTTTTTTTTTTTTTTTTAATGCATGATTTTGGTTGAATACATGAAATTCAAGTTCTTGATAACACTCATTTTTATTTTTTACCATATTATAATTTTTGATATCTTTCACATTTTAAGTACCAATGCTTTTCATACATATGCTTTTCTTCAGTTTCCATTATTTTAATAATTTTGTTTACTATTATTTTATACATTACTTTTGATTGGACCATAATATCTAATTTGATTAGGTTTAAAATATAATCATTTGTTTTTTAACTTCATTTGCCCTCCCTTTATTTTTAAAATACGTATTTGCGTATCTTTTGCACATTTCAGTCAAATTCATTGGTTTAGTGAGTTCATTTAGTTTGGTACTTATGTATTACCACAACCACTTCGGCACAGTTCAATAATTTTTTATAGAAGAAAAAGACTAATAGTAATTACAAAAACCTATATATATACATTTTATAATCCGAGACCTGGAAATGTTCAGGGATTCTTGATTTCAGGATTTTAGATCAGCAATTTAAATCATGACATGTAGACAAGTTTTATTAAGAATTTTTATTAAGACAGATGCTCTAATATATAAGTACTCGTATTTAAAAAAGATTTCAAACTGATCCAACTTTTATTCACTCTTTTTTTTTTTTTTGGCTACTATGTGATTAAAAAATATTTTTTAATGTTTTATATTTTAGTTATATATTTTATTTAATAAGCACTTTTCATTTTAGTGTAAATTTGATCATTGTCACAATGTCAGATGATGAAGAAATTGCTTATGTCAAGCGTCAGAAAATTATTCATTTTGGAAGTTTAGAAGAACAAGAAAGACTAAAGCTTGCTGAGAAAGAAAAAGAAAAAGATGAAGAGAGTGATGATAATAAAGAACCCAGTGACGATGAGGAAGCTACAGCTGCAAAAGAAACGCTGTCTGCTGGAGATGTTAATATTAGTGAAGGTAAGCAGGTTTAATTAAAATTGAGTCAAAAATCTAAAAGAACATTATTATTCTCTGATATCATGCTTACAGATGCTCCAATTTGATATGCATCCCAGCTGCCTTTTTCATTTTGTCTCAGTTATTTGATAAACTTTTAGAAGTACCAAATATCCTAGGGTTAAAAATAGGGCTTTCTCAGGTGCATTTATGCCAATTAAAATAGCCCCTCTGTTGCACTTGTTGTTGCCAATTTAATATTTTGCATCTTATTATTTTGTAATATATAAGCACTTTTAATGTTGTCTGAATCAGCGATATTGCAGACCACTAAGATAATTTTAGATTCTAGACTTTCGATATTTTCACTAAAAATGATGACACATGTCTTTTGTACATTGAGCTATGATAAAATAGTTTTGGTAAAGCAGAATCCTTTATTTAGATGAACAACAGAGAATTAACATGGTCTGAAATTGAAGCTTTATGGGGGAAAAATTAATGAAACTGTCTTAAATAATACAAGAAGCAAGGATGAACTTTTCGATGAAGTAATGATTGCAAAAGTTTTTTTGGTCAGCTAATTGTAAAATTGGGGAAGATAAAATTGTGGAGAAAATGGATATAACTTTGCAATAATTTATTAGAGAAATCATTTTATTGCCTACTTATACTCAAATAAAAGAACACTTTTTCAGCCTGCAAGGAACAATGTGTGATGATGAAATCAAAAGAGTATTCTCAGTAATGAATATCATTATGGTCTGGAAAAAGGTAGAATAGCTGAATCAGCTATCAAAGCTGATTTTACATGTTGACTAAATTGCAGTGAATTTTTCAATGTCATTAAAAACAACAAGGAATTTTTAAAGAGTATTCACACTGGTGATAAATACTAATAACTTCTTAATAATGAGATATATTCAGTTGAGCTATTAAAAATTTCTTTCAATTCTCTGTTTCCCCCCCTCCCCCCCCTTTTTTTTTTGTTTGTTAACTTCTTTATTTATATTTTTCATTCATAGGTTACTTATCCTAGTAGGTTTTATTCTCATTTGCATTTTCTCACAAATATTCTAGATTGAGCAGAAAATATAATGGTAAGCCTACACATAAACCTTATTGTGATGGTTAAAAAATTTACCTATGTTGCTATTTATCATGGCTTTGTATCTAACTATTTGAATTGTTCAGGTACAATATGAAGCCAAACTGCAAAACATTTATTACAGCCTATTATATACTTAATGAATCAGGCCAGATTTGTTGTTGTTAAAAGTTAAGTTGGAAATTTTCTCCTCTGAATATCTGCATTATTGCATTTCTGTTTTGAACAATTTTTCTTAATGTAATTTCTAATATATTTCTGATATATGTTTCATAGTTTAGGACAGAAAAACAGTTTTTCTGGTTTATGGTGTATCGTAAACCAAGGTAACCTTGCTTCTTGTATGTCCTAGTTCTTGTTTTTGCACTTTCGGAACTTACAGAGTGTCACCAAACCTTTACCGTGTCATATGATAGTTATTAGTACCTAAAGCTGTACACATGATTTGGTGACATTCTGTAGCTGACTTTTTGCTACAGACCTGGAAGTAAATGATGGTTCTAATCTGATAGTGTGATAGTTACATTTCGGAGATCTTGTACTAGTGATAACAATATTTTTTTACAAATTTCACAACACAGTATTTTAAAGGAAGTCTCTTTCTTTCAAATGCCAAAAATCATTTGACTAAATATGATTAAACACAGCAGCGTGAACTGTTTGCGCAGATGATATTTATGGTGGTGGGAAAATTTGATAGAACCCGATAGTATGTGCTCTTTATGCATAAATAATGGCATAGTTATTTTACCTATGTTAAAATTTGGGGAGGGTGGGAAACATTTTTAAGTTCTTAGCATAACAAACTTTTTTTCTGAATGCAAAACTAGAAAAAAATTAAATATTTCTCAATAGTAAAAGAATAATTTTAGAAAATATTAAAATGTACATTTTTTTTGTATAACATTTTTATAAGTTTGTAATTCATTAATCCTTTACCAGAAAAGATCTTAAACAAAAAATAGTAGTTCTTTCAGAGACTAGGCAAAGCATCAACCAGTTATTGCTAATAGAATATAATTCAAGATTATTGTATTTCTTTAAGCATAATGTGCTAAATATGTTATCTTTGTCATTTATAATTATTCAAAAATAATTTTCATTGTATTCAGATTTATAATAAAAGAACCTGTTTTTCCATAGAATATATGGAATTAGAAGAAGAAGAAAACAAAGAAAAACAAATGCTCTTGGAAGAATTTGAAAGGAGGAAAAAGGTATATTTTCTGTAAATTAATGTATTTATCATTTTATGTCTAAAATTGATATTTATCATTTCACTGTATCAATGTGTTTTATTTTTAGTACAAATTTCATCTAAGCTGTTTTTGTTTAATTTATATATACAAATTTATGCATAGACTCCAACTACTATGGATTCTTTGTAGTTTCTACATAAATTCCTTAAAAACTATGATCTACAGAAAATGGGAAAAAAAAAAAAAAAAAAAATGCTAGGATTTTGCTAAAAGGGGGCAAAGGAAATGAATAGTATGCAAAATGATACCAACTTGTTTCTCCAGTGATTCGCAGAATGCTTGTGACATCAAGTATCACATGTTAAGTTAATGATTATGTGAATATTACTATTAATAATTATTTATTATTATATTATAATAATATAACATGTTAAGTCAATGATCATGCTGATTTCGAAGATTATCCAATCTTAATTAAGCAAATTCTAACCTTTATCATTCCAATCAAGCACCTTGCAGTGAAGGGCACTATAATGCTACATCCCATATTCTTGAATATTGACAAATTGGCTAATCCTATAACTGGGCACAAGATTAATGGAAAGAAAAAGACTGAAAGACTTTAGGCATTATATTTTTGCCTTACGTATACTATAAATCAGTAAAGCTCTAGTTATCTGAGACAAACCTGCAACTCATTATAGTTTAGTCTTTTACTGAAATTTAATAAATTGGGAGTTATCAGAATTGAGTTTTACATTCTCATAATTTTAATCCCTTGCCCCAAAAAAGGTTATGTGTGCATAGTTGTAAGACATGAAAATAGCTTAACTTTGAGAGATGGCTTAAGTATAACTTTGTCAAATGATTTTCAGGTAAGAAACTAATGCTTAGAGTGTTTTCCAAATAAAAATTATTTGATTTTGAAGTGTAAATTATGAAAAACAGCGGACTTATAAGGGACAATGCTGCTATGAAAGATTAATACATCAATGTAACTGTTTCAAATCTGTAATGTAATTTATTAAACTAATCTTTTATATTTCTATCACCATTAATAACTAATTAAATACTATTGTAAAAGAGGGGAGGGAATGGAAGTGTGACGTCGCAAACATTTCAGATCCTGAGGAAATGCTTAGATAATAACATTGGAATAAAAAAGTAAAGCACACTTTTTATATATTAAATAGAAATGGGAGAATGCAGTTAATGTTTATGTGTTTTAAATGGAAAAAAAAAAGTTGAAAATCCCAAGAATAAGTCACAAAGAAAAACAAGTGCTCTTAGAAGAATTTGAAAGGAGGAAAAAGGTATATTTTCTGTAAATTAATGTATATTGCGAAAGGTGGTTCTAATTCTAAATGAAGTGAAATATTTCAACAATCTACAAAAATAATCATTTTATTTACAAAGCAACTTTCGTTGCATCGAAGGTTCACTGCTAACTAACTACGTCGCAAACTAAAAACTAACATTCCTTTTCAGCAGCAAAGCGCCCTCTAACGGCGATACATAAATCATTTGGGGGATTTTTCCACACTCCCCACCTGATAATTTCTGCAAAAATTATCACTATTTCAGCATACAAATAATAAAATATAAGAAAGCAACTTACATATCAAATACATTCAACTGATGTAAATATAAACTGCAAAAGGAAATTCTATAAAATAAACAAATATAGTTAACTGCATCAACTCAAATGTTACTCAATACGTAAATATTAATTCAAATTACAAACAGTAAATTATTAGTAATAACTAAACTAATTATCTAAAATTAATGTTAGTGAATATGAAATACAAGAAGTAAAATTAAAAGGTTACAAAATTAGTTCATTTTCAGTCTGATAGTTCAAGGGGGTATATCAATTGCACAGGTCTCTTAAAGTCCCCCTTTTTAGTTTTTACCGCACATGATCGTACAAGACCATCACGTCCTTTGAAGACTTGAATTACTCGACCTAAATCCCAGAGGAACTTAGATTTAGTTGTTCCTTCAAGTAAAACTATATCACCAATTTTAAGATTTTTCTTGGCTTCTGGTGTACCGAAGAAGTGAGCATTTCTTAACTCAAGGAGATACTGATTTTTCCATTTTTTCCAGAACTGTTTTATAAGTGTTGTCTGATATTCTTTTCGTTTTATTAGACTCTTTCTTGTTGGAGAGTTATTCAGGATCTCAGCAAAGTTGTATGGATATTCATCCTTATGTCCGATCAATAGAAAATCAGCCGGTGCAAGCGGTTCAGGTTCATGTAAATCGTTGTAAACGTAGGTCAAAGGACGTCTATTCACAATATTTTCGACCTCTGTCAACACAGTCATAAATTCTTCAAAATTCAATTGAGCTCTGCCTAATATCTTTTCAACGGTTCCTTTATGGTTTTCATAAGGCGTTCATAAAAAGCTCCCCACCATGGAGCAAGCTCGACGATAAATTTCCAAGTCAAGCCTTCATTTGCTAGAAATTTTTGAAAGTCTGTACCTTTAATTATGCTGTAAAAATACTGTAAATCTTTGGCAGCATATTTGAAAGTTTTCGCGTTATCTGAATAAAAGGTGCGACAGTTTCCTCTTCTTGAAATGAAACGTCTGAGAGCCAAAATGAATTTGTTTGCAGACATGTTGGAAATGAGTTCTAGATGTAACGCTCGTGTAACAGCGCACGTAAACAATACGATGTATGATTTCTGAATTTCGTTTCCAGACCTGATGTAAACTGGACCTGTGAAATCCACGCCTGTAACATAGAAAGGTGGAGTTTCAACAATTCGATCTTTAGGTAACTGAGCTGTCATTTGTTTCGCTGGTTTTACTGCGTATTTCCGACAAATTAAACAGTTCCCTAAGACTTTCTTTACCAACTGACGGCCTTTAGGAATCCAAAATTTCTGTCTTAGTTTGGCTAAAGTTGCTGCAACTCCCGCATGCAGAACATTATTATGTTCCCTTTTTACAATTAATTCAGTAAATTTGGAATCTTTAGGAAGAAGAACTGGATGCTTCTCGTCAACTGTATATTCGGTTTCTTCTAATCTTCTCTTAATTCGGAGAATTTTATTTTCATCAAGAAACGGTGCCAAGCTGAATATATCAGAGCTTGGAGCAATTGACTTGTTAGATTGAAGAGCCTTTAATTTCAGGTGTGAAGAAATCCATCTGGGCTTTACGAACACAAAAAATTTCAGTGTCCTCAATTTCAGAAGCACTTAATGTTCCACTATTAGCAGGCAGTTTTCTTGCCTTAGCAACGAAACGTCTAGCCCATGCCATAATTCTGAGATATTTCAGCACATTACTGAATTTTGTTTATATCCAATAGTTGATCATCTCTCTTTCACAACAATATCATAAACAGATATCTTACTACGGAGTTCTAGTTGCTTATCGTTTCCCACGTCAAACTTCGGTTGAACTGGCCAGTCTATATGTTTGTTTTGCAACCATTCTGGTCCAAACCACCAAAGTGAACAATTTCTTTCTTAAATTAGCAACAGTAGTTCCTCGTGATATGATGTCGGAGGGGTTATCTTTCCCACGGCAATAATGCCAATTATTGCTTTCAGTTAGTTTCTGAATTTCATAAACTCTGTTTTTGATGAAAGATTTAAATCTTTCGGGAGATCCCTGAATCCAAAAATACGTTATTTGAGAATCAGTCCAGTGGAAGGGGATTACTTCGTATTTTAAACATTTTGCGATTTTATCACTCAATCTAAGTCTGGCGGATAAAAGCGCACCCAAAAGCTCCAATCTAGGAAGTGTAAGGGATTTCAGAGGTGCAACTCTACTCTTGGAAGCAACAAAAACTGTTTGAAAAGTTCCATTGTTCAAACTATTCTCAGATATACCACGCATCCATAAGCTTTCAAACTAGCATCAGAAAAGCTATGGAGTTCTATTTGTTTCACATCTGCATCTAATATTCCTTCTAAATAGTAGCGGGGAATTCCTGAGGTGGTTCAGTTCTTCAATTTCTTCGTACCAGGCTTTCCATTTATAACTAAGATCAGGTGGCAGTTTCATCGTCCCAATCAATTTTGGCAGACCAGAATTTCCTGAATCAGACACTTTATTCTTATAGTGAAAGGGCCATAAAATCCGACAGGATCAAAAATACGGCCTGCGGTTTGCAATAGAAAACGTTTTGAGTTGATTGACGAGGAAATGAAATTTGTCAAGTGCTGAGTGTCAAAATAAAAATTATCATTATCCGTATCCCAGTTAATTCCTAACACTTTGATTGGGACAACTTCAGGAGATTCTTGCATCGAAAATTCTTTGCGATGCCAAATATCTTTGAGTTCTTTGGAATTAGTATGCCACTTATGTAGTGACATGCTAGCTTCATTAAAAATGTTCACAATTTCTAAACTTGTTTCTAAACTTGTTAGGGCTTGTTCTAAATTTTGTTGACCACCAATAATGTCATCAACATACAGGCAGTTCTTTAAGAGTTCTACTGTTTCAGGATATATTTCTGAATATTTTTTAAGGTGATGCTTAATAGTAGCAGCTAGAAGAAAGGGACTAGATTTTACTCCAAACAAAACTCTTGTAAATCTAAAGGTTTTCAAACCTGCATTGTTATCATTAGGATCATCTTTCCAAAAGAATCGTATAACGTCCCTGTCTTCTTCATTTAACTCTATCTGTAAGAATGCTTGTGTAATGTCCGCTGTAAAGGCTATCGAATTTTGTCTAAATTTTATCAATAAATCAAAAATATCAGGATATAGGTTCGGACCAGTATATAGACAGTCATTTAGAGAGAGTGTTTTTGGTTTATGGGCTGAAGCATCATAAACTATTCTTAGTTTGCTTGTTGCTCTATCATTTCTGATGACTGCTCTATGAGGTAAATAAAATAGGGTTTTATCATTTTGATTGTCTTCTTGAACTGGTTCAATAATATGTTTTAACTCGTAATCCTTTAAAACCTCTGTGTATTGAACAAACAAAGAGTTATCAATTTTAAATTTGTTACTCAATTTCTTAAATCTTTCAAGTGCTATATCCCTATTATCTTCCATTAAATGTTTTGAATTCGGTTTCCAAGGTAATTTTACTTGGTATCTGTAGTTCTTATACCTGATATCAGATTCGAAAGATTTCATAATTTCTAAATCAACAGTTTTGTCGTTTTGAGTATCACTTTCCAAACCCCAAGTTTTCTAGCTTCCAAAACTGTTGTAACTGATCTGATATCAAGTTTTCATTTACAATTACTTTCATAGTTAATAATTCACTATGATCATTATTTACTTTACCCTGCAAACACCACCCAAATAAAGATTCTGCGGCTACTACATTTTCTGAAATTCTTTTAATTTTACCAGTAATTATAGAATAGTAGAAATCTACCCCTATGAGAATATCAATTTTGTCACTTTTTCTACAACAATCTGCTAATTGTAGATTTTGTAAAATTTTTATTTTTCTTAGCAAAGTTCAAATCTGGAGGAGAGATAACAGTATTGGATATATTTTCGGTTTCAAGAAGCTCAATATATATATTAAGATTAGGATCGTTTACATTTTCTAGTTTTGCTCTAACAACATTAAAGGTTTTTTTCTAACGCACTTTTATCACCAAAGGAATAAACAGAAAGTGATTCTTTTCTAACAATCGGAAGTTCCATTTTAGTAGATACATCTTTGGTTATGAAAGATCTCATTGAGCCATTATCAAAAAGAATTCTGACATTTTCAGATTTATCATTATTTCGAATCAATGCAGAAGCCGTTTGTAATAATATTTTATTAGATCTATTTTCATCGGAATTATATGACGAAACAGCGGAAATAACGCTCGAATCCGACGTTTTCTTTTTAGGTTTTTCATTATCTTTTTTCTGATGGAATGAATAACAAATGGCTTTCGAGTGTTTATTAAAGCAGAAGGCACAGTTTATTTTTTGTTTACAATTTTGGATCCGGTGATACCGACCTAAACATAAAAAACACCGCGATTCACTTTTTAAGATCTCCTTTTTCTTTTCTACACACTTAAAAAATTTCGCAATCCGCAGATTTATGATTTGTGTTCCCGCAGAAACAGACACTGCGATTCGGATGACGCCGCTAATAACTCAACTGTAGACGGCTTGCTCGTTATGGCTGGAGAATGTTTATGTTTGAAGGGCAAATGCTTTTCCAATCGCGAATATTTTTCTCTAGAATTATAATTAACGCGCGTTCTCTACTGAATACTTCGTTCCTCAAAAAGGCTAACAAACCTTTTAAATCCCAATTTTCGTCTTTAATTTTTCGGCTATAATCAAGAACGAATTCTCATTAGGAAGTAATTTCAAAATTAAAGGCGTTAAGAGATTTCCGTAGGTATCAGAGTCTATTTTTAATGCTTCAAGATTTCTTATCTGTACTTCGGCGTGATCTAGAAGTTTTCTTAATCCGTTTATATCATTAGGATTTCTAACAGGTGAAGTACTTAAGAGTTATCCTAAATGCGAATTAATTAAGATGTTCTTTTGACCAAATCTGGAACGTAACAGTTCAAGAGCAGCTTCGTAATTATTTTCGATGAGAGCGAAACCAGAAATAGCTTTGGCGGCTGAGCCACCAAGAAAGCTTTTTAAGTAAATTAATTTTTCTATTTTTGATAAATTCGGATTTTTATCAATCGCATTTTCGAACTGACCTATGAATTCTAACCAATCCGAAGAATCACCATAAAATTTAGAGATCGTTAATTTTGGAAGACGAGTGAATTTGTTACTTTCGTTTTGGGATTCTGTAACGGTTTCATTAGAAATGTCTCTATTTGCATTGTCCGAATTTTTCCAACTCTTTCAACTCTTTCAACTTTTTCTTTCCTCTAAACTGCCACACTTGAATTTTCTCTTCATATTCCAAAGCGGATGAGATTTCAAGTTCAAATTCGTCTTCTCCGACTTTTAATTCTCGTTCTATTTCAGTGTCTAAATTGCTCAAGGATTTTGATTTTTCGTTTAACTGGTCTAAAATTTCTTCTAATACATTTACATTTATACTACTATCATCTTTATTCAGTTCGGTTTCAATTTTCTTTAATATCTTGGACACTCCGGTCCTCAATACCTTTCGTTTCGATTTCAGTTTAGCAATAAGATCTTCCATATTATATAAAAATAGAAAATACAGGCTTACCTTGGCTGTCTTCGCATAAAATGATATCCAAAATTAAAAAAACACAAACTTCTAAATTGGCCAAAGGTTCCCGGCCGATGCACCATATTGCGAAAGGTGGTTTTAATTCTAAATGAAGTGAAATACTTCAACAATCTACAAAAATAATCATTTTATTTACAAAGCAACTTTCGTTGCATCGAAGGTTCACTGCTAACTAACTACGTCGCAAACTAAAAACTAACATTCCTTTTCAGCAGCGAAGCGCCCTCTAACGGCGATACATAAATCATTTGGGGGATTTTTCCACAATGTATTTATCATTTTTATGTCTAAAATTGATATTTATCATTTCACTGTATCAATGTGGTTTATTTTTAATACAAATTTCATTTAAGCTGCTTTTGTTTAATTTATATATACAAATTTATGCATAGACTCCATTGATTGAGGCATTTTTCCAGTGTGTTTGATATCTCAATTATATAGTCTTGATCTAATTTAATCAAAATCTGAGCCTTATTAACTGTCTCAAGTAAAAAAAATCCCTGGTTATTTTATTAATTAAATTTTTTTTATTTATATGTCATGAATAACTATCTTATTAGTTGTAAATGATATATGTCATTCAAGTAGACTCAAACTATAAATTAGCTTTAGGAATATGTTGAAACTGTGTGAACTGACATATATCCCAAATCTGCATTCATTGTCTATTTCTTGCTATGCAGGATATGTATTGCAGTACTTATTGCATCCTGTATTGTAGTAAGGTGTAATTTGAATCACTTCATCCATGTGTCACATATTGTACTTGCTCGCATATTTTACCTTTTTTGTTGTTCTTTGCTAATTTTGTCATGCAGGATTAGAGAGGGGAAAATATGAGAATATTTTAATTTACAAAAAGCACTATTATTGTTATAACATAACAAATGAAAAGTGTTCATGTATTCCTGGATTAACTACTGATAACTACCACAATGTTATTTATTTAAACTACCACAATGCCATTTATTTAAAAGAAACCTACACTCCAGTGAGAACGCATAGTAATCTTGCCGGTATCTAATAAGATATCTTCATTTCTACTTCTTGTGGCATAAATCTCACCTGCTCTTATTGTTATCCACCGCTACTTCTTAGCCTAAATCATTTAATGTTACTTGAACTGCTATCTGTTTAGTCTGCTATAGCTTGCAGGTTATTACTATTATCACCATTGTTGTTGATTTTTCACAATTCAGCCTATGATCCCTTGTCTGCTGATCTTCAAAACCAACATGAGCATTACATATTTTCACGGAGATCTTCACTGTTATTGCTTCATCAATCAGAGCCCATGCACCAAAAATCTATGAGCAAACCAATTAGTCTGAGGAAAACAGTCACTATATCGATAAATCCATCTTAAAAGTTAGGAAAGCTCACTTTCTGAATGTCTTGAGAAAGGAGAAAGTTATATCAGTACTTAAAAATTTTTCAGAACCTTGTGCTAAGAAGCTAAAGTGAAAAACAAATATAAGTAAATATGGTGTTTGTCAAATAAATGTGCGTCTGATAACTTTTCGTGGTGTTTCATTATAGCAGTGTAATTGCATAACCAACAAATTGGAGTTTTTGAAGTTTTACTGGCAAGAAGCTATGAGAGAGCTTTTATTATGACTGATTAATATTATTTAGCAGTTATGTGGGGGAGAAGAAGATAGAGGGGATTATCAAGCAGTTTCTTCAGACAGAAGTTAAATGTTTAAAAGGAAAATGTCAAATGTATTTCACATGTGCTAATTTTCTGGTAATTAATATTTTTCCTATTGCTTGTTATTTTAGGCTCGTCAAATTAACGTATCTACAGATGATGCAGAAGTTAAGGCTACTTTAAGACAAATTGGTGAACCAATATGTAAGTGAAGACAACTGAATTTTTTTTATACAAATGGCAATTGTTTAATGTTTCCTTCTTTTATATAAGGCAATGAATTTATTAAATGAATTGAACTCAAGTAATTGTTTTAATACTTCTAAATACACTCATGTCCATAAATTAAGGATAATGCAAAATCAGGCAAAGGAAGAGTTAGAAGCAAAACAAATTTGTAAAGCTTATTTATTAAACAAAAGGTAAAGAGCAAAAAAAGATGCTATATGTTTGATATTATTAAACAAATTAACGAATTTTTCTCCCTGGAGCAAATTACAAAAAAAAAAAAAAAAAAAAAAAAAAAAAAAAAAAAAAAAAAAACTATTTACAAAAAACCAATATTACATGGTTGGTATGATTGTTAATACATTGTATGTCTCCCAGACGATGCAATACAGTCCGTACAAAGCCTAGGCATGCTGAGTATCAAATTATCGTTCTGATCTTGGGGGATATTACACCATTCAAAAAGCAATGCTCTCCGAAGTTCCGGTAGACATGTAGGAGGAGGTTGACGGGCTGTAACTCGTCGGCCAAGCATGTCCCACACGTGCTCTACTGGATTCAAGTCCGGTGAGAACGCTGGCCAGTCCATACGAGTGATATCCTCCGACTGAAGGCATTCACTTACGATGTTTGTACAGTGAGGACGGGCGTTTTCATCCATAAACACAAATTGCGCCCATGGCGGTCCGAAACAAACGTACATGTTGTTCCAGAATGACGTCCCGATAGATTTGGCTTGTCATGGTTCCAATTTGAACATGCTGGTCAGTTCTGGAACCCAGAATAATTCCACCCCAAACGAGCACTCCTGCACCACTGTAATAGTATTGTTGAATGATGTTTTCTTCGTGGTAACGGGTACCTGGAGCTCTCCATATGAAAGTCCGGCGAGAATCAGACTGCAGACTAAACCTGGACTCGTCAGAAAACATCACACAAGCCCACTGTTGCGGTGTCCACAATGCATGCTGTTTACTCCAGGCTAATCGCAGGTGACAGTGAGTTGAAGTAAGTGGAACACATCTGACAGGTCTACGAGCATATAGACCAATCAACTCTATGCGTCTGTACACGGTCTGCCTTGAAATTGTCGTACCAGTGGCTGAAGAGAGCTGATGAGACAGGTCTGAGGCTATCCGCCTGTTTCTTTTGGCAGTAACTGCCAAATACCGTTCCTCATTCGCCATTGTAACTCTGGGGTGACCTGTGCTGTAACGTCTACTCACATTACCATCATCTTGGAATCATTGCCAAAGCCTAGAGATGACACTCTGGGCAATTCCAAGTTCGTCTGATACTTCCAGTTGGGTACGCCCACATTTCAGATGGCCGATAATTCTACCATGTAAAAAATCATCCAAGTGCATCCTTTGTGTCATAACTATTCGGTTATTGCACTGAAATGCTTATAAAGTGCCTGCGAACAATTTTACTTCTTTGCCCGTATTCCTTCTATATCACTCTCTTACACTCTCGTCATTGTGACGTACCATCGGTGTCATCTGGTTACTTCCTGAAATTTGCATATGATTCTTGAAGATGTGTGTAGTGATTTTACAGGTGATATATTTATTTTAGAGTTCGATTTCCGCGTGACTCCGAATTATCCTTAATTTATGGACATGAGTGTACTTGTTAATTGTTTTTCATGATTACAACATTTTTTACATCATTTTATGACATTAACTAGTACTTAAATATTCCTGTCAGCCATGAAACTCTCACCAAGTAGTCCAATTTATGCGTGAACAATTATTGATAAACTTGACATAACAACACACTAACATCATGTGTATTTTTGTTAGATGTAAACCATATTGATTCTCAATGAACCGCATTTAATTTTTATGAACAAGGATATAAGTTAATTTTTATTCCTCTGATTTTTCCTTACATTTAAAAAAAAGGTTTAATTAAAATTTGGGGCTTGCCTTCTGTAGAACACTGGATTAATTTCATGGGATCATACCATCAAAAGATGTCTGGGTTAAAAACACGACATGGTCATTTGAATGTGGTTGACAAAATGGTAATAAATTAGAACAATTAGCTGCAAGAAGTTTTTACTCTTAGGATTCTAAATAGAACTTCTGATAAAATTGAAGGGCTTAAAAAAGTAATAAAACTCAGCAAAAGCTATTTTATGAATTTCAGGAATGAAGCAAGTTGAATATTGATTGTTTATTAAATAAGAAGCATCAGTTCCTTCAGAATTCTGCAGAAATGATTGGAACAATTTTGGCCAAAATCTCAAACTTTTATCATATGATGGCAGCTAGCTTTCTTGGTCAATGGGAAAACGCATAAATATGTTAACTATTCATAAAGCTGTGAAACATTTTGAAATTCATGGTGTCCTCATTCCCTGACATTTCCAATATTTGAGATGTATTTAATTTTCTGTATTCATTTTTAATGGAAACAAAAATATTTCTATTATTAAATAATGAATTAGTATGTATGTATGTTTCTAGCACTAAAAAAATGGCGACACCTAAAGCCACCAGATTTTAAATAGTTGTAGTCCTCTACTCAATCATGCATGAGTTCTGAATTTTCATTTTCTTTGTTTATTCATTTTGTAAGTTTTGTGTGAACTTAAATTTTGATAAACAAATTCGCATATTTAAAAGCAATATGTTACCATTCAGCAAAGCATAAGATATTTATTCTTAAAATCAACAAATTCAGCAATTTCGTAGAAATATATGGCTATTGCCCAGAGTAAAATATTTTTATCTTCCACACACCAGTGTTTAGTGGTTTGGTAAAATGTAAGGTATTTAATTTTATTTTTAAATTTAATGTATTTTCTGATTAACAGACTAATCACTTTAAAAAAAATAAATGCAGTTCTTCACATCTATTATTATTAATTACTAGCTAAACTCATTAAAGTCATTGCATACTTTTTTTATGGTAGCTGTTGTAGATGGCTGGCTGTTTAAGTTACTAGTCTTCTTAAAATTTAAAACAAACTTTTGAAACCAGGCTGAATGCAATAAAATACAAATGCTGTAGAGCTCCAACTACGTTTCTTACTTTTTTTAAAAAATTTAAATAGTTTGAAAAGAATGTAATACAGTACATATTTTTAAGCAATTCAATTTAAATAAATAGATTAACTTATGATGTTCGGCAAATAAACATTGATGGAAAAGCAGTTATATATTTTCTCTCTCTCTCTCTCTCTCTCTGTCTGTATATATATATATATATATTTCTTCTTTGCTTAGCATAGAATGTGCTGTTTATCTAAAAGTATTGCAACAAATACATTTTTTGTCCAGATGATTTTCATTATTCCTATGTAAAGTATGCAGGAATTCTGAATTTGAACTGATGCTGCTGTTCTAATGTTAAAAACAGCTGAATAAGATGACACTGTTTGCTTCATACATTCTTGTGAGTTCAACATTCTTCCATAAGATAGCTCTCCTAGCACCAGTACTAGAACAGTAGGGAATGTAACATTGAAGTGCAAAACAGAAGACTCTGAATAAGTGCACAAATAAGTTGCACAATTGAGGGTATGCATACAATCAAAAATAAACTGCATGGTTTCTTTGGAAAGAGGACAGGCAACAACTCAAATCTGCAAGCAGTGTCTTTCTGGGAGTGAGCAGGTTCCTATGCAAAGCTGTGTATTTAATTTGATTAGGAACTTCAACATTTGAAGTGAAAGAAACGAGCAGGTAGATCAGCAAATCAGTAGTAAGGCATATACCAACAACGAGAGGTAGATCAGTAGTAAGGCGTATACCAACTGGACTGTAGCAGGTGTCCAATCTTATATTGACAATCAAAGTGCTACCTTTGATGAAATTGGTATTGACAGAAAAATTTACATGCTATACTGTATGAAGATTTGAAAATGTATAGTGTTTGTGCTCACTTTTTGATAAGATGAGTAGAACCTGTGGTTGAGGATTTGTTTGTAATAAACTAGTCATGCCTGTAACAAGCTATCCTTCTGACTGCAAGAAGCTATTCAAGATTGGATTAGCAGTAATCCTAAAAAATAGTTTCCTGCAGCTATCCCAAAACTTCCTGGGAACTGTGAATGCTGCATCAGTTTGGAGGGAAATGCCCATAATATTCATGTATGTGTTCAGTTAATTAAAGTAAGTTCTGTTATTATCAAGTATTTAACTGAATGCTCAAAATCTCACGTACATTGTGCTTAACACAGAGTCAGCATATTTTCTTACCTGCCTTTCAGCTAATTCTAGGTACTGGGGTTCTACTGTATATAGATTTTTGTTTTCATTGAAACAGTCTTCGTAATTTTTGTTGTTTCAAACCTTGGAGCTGCAAGTATAATATGATTTGATATCTAAAATTTCATTGCCTAAAATTGGTTAAAATTCTAGTTTAGAGGTTTTCAGTTTAGAGTCTTAAGGAATTTTGCTATCAGTCAAATGATAACTTTCCAGATGGCAGTTAATATTTGAATGATGCATAGCCAAAAAAAAAATGTGGATTCTTCAAGTAAAGCATCAATCATTTATATATTGTCTCTCTTTTCCAAAGATATAGATTTTATATTTTTTAGTAAAGAAAGCTTTTTAAGACTTATGGGACAAGTTTATGATATAAAAGAATAATTTTTTAGATTTAAGTGAAGATGCTATCAGTATTTTTTTAATCGATTGAAGATTCAAAATAGTCACAAAACTGTAATAGTGAAATATTTTGCAATGTTTAATTATTTTATACCACCTAAAAAAGTGTTTTTCTCATACAAGAATGTTTTAACCAGAAAAAATTAACGTTGTTATTATGAGTTATTTGATATAATAAAAGACTGTGTATAACTGAATTTTATATAAAATCACCTGTGATTTATTGCAGCCCTAATTATTTTTTATGCATACTTAACTGCTTTTCTTTCATATTTTTATTATAATAAAGCATATTCAGTAATAGTGTAGCATGCAATCTACCTCTTTTAGTTAACTATTTTTAGATGGTGC